GATTAGAGATGTTTTTTAAAGGTGAGAGAAAAAAAAATCAAAGAGACTAAATCTGTAAATTATAGAAAGATTGATAAAAAGTACAATAAGAACTAGTAGTGGAAAAAGTAGGAGGGGATATACGGTACCTCCGGGTATACTAGATAAATTGCCGAGATTACTATGTAAGTAGAGTTATAAGCAGAATTATAATAGTAGAGTATCACTACTCTTACTATATATGCTCTGACATGTCTAAGTAAAGAATGAGTTCATGCCAAGAAAGTTCATATGTATCCTTCCTCAAGCATATACCTAAAATCCTAATTTCTATTCTTAATGAAATATTGAAATTATACGTTCCATTATCAGAAAAGTGAGGCCAAAATTTAAAGATAGACATATTTTCCAATTTTTCACATATAATGCTCACAGCGTGCATGGAGTCACATTAGGAGAAAGCGGAAAAGTTTGTGGGTTAACTGAAGTATTGCAAAAAGCACGTACGGGCAAATCATTTTTATACGTACGAGGATATGATAATAATTTGATTGAAAAATTGACTGGACTTTTATTATTTTCATTGAAATACATACTGCCCCTCTCCTGGAGAAAATACTTTATTGTTTATTTTATACGCATGCAACAAGGGATTTGGAAGGCAAAAATGGGACTAGCTTTAATTAGTATACAAGTTAATTAATAACTTAATTCAAAAGCATTTTTAAGAGAGCGTGGATAAAATCCAAAAAGAAAAAAGAAAAAGAAAAAGAAGAGGAATATAAAGTTACTGAGCCAGCTAGTTCACCATTAATAACTCAGGTCGTTGCAATTGGTATGAGAGTGAATATACAAAGACGGTCAGTTTTAGGCTTTGGGAGGACCATTCATGTTCTCCAAATCTTGTACTCCCTCCGTCCCATAATTATTATCCAATTTTATTAAAATAAAATATTTTATTTTTGGTCAAACTTAACTATATTTTACCTTAAACAATCGGATATATCCCTACATAACTAATTGTTTAACCACTAAAATTTTATGGATAATATTTTTTACTAAGGACAAATGTGTAACTTGATCCATAAAAAGTCAAATTGGACAATAATTTTAGGACAAAATTTTTTGGGCAAAGTGGACAATAACTATGGGACGAAGGAAGTAGAAAAATGTCGTCTTCGACGTCAATTCGCAGAGGTTGGTTTGTTTTTTTTTTTTTTTTTAAAAAAAAGAAGAAATTGAATCATAGAGCTTGTTAATTAATATATATAAATATATGTATATTTATAACAACCATCATTTGACAAATTACACATAGATAATGTCGTGGTCCGTGCATTTAATAGGGTAACAATTGATCAATTGGGGATTTAAGATATTGTTGTTTAAGACAATTCCGTGGGGGATGTGTTTCCCTTTATTACCACAACAGCAGCCGTTTTGGGTTGGGCATCTTCTCTTTTGGCCAAAACTAATTATCCCTAAACTAAATTATTAATTGCAGTAATTAAATTTGCTAGTCTCTGTATGAACTTGAAATATAATAAAATATACAAATACTAGTATTACTAGTTGCTATAGTAGCCACGCGCAGGCAAGGGACCATTATACTCGTTGATTATTGCATCACTGACATAGTCGTATTGGATAAGTTGGAACAAACATCATTCTAAAATTTTAAAACTAGCTAGGCTGTACAAGTGCTACTCACCCATCATACAATTGATCCCTAAATTAAATACGCAATTACTCCTTCCAATCAGATAAGCATGATTTTTTCTCTATTCCGAAAAAATAATCTACGATAAATTTTAAAATTTGTACTAAAATCTCAAACCTCAAATTATACTTTTTTTTCTTTTTCTTTTTTTTTAAAGGGTGAGTACTAAATTTGATTCAAATTGGTACGTATACATAAGATAAGACATATCAATGGACATTCTATATCAATGGCAGCAAACAAATCGGATATTAATTCATGCATGGAAGATTTAGGGAGCTAGAGAGATACGAATCTTTATTATGGATCTAAGATACAATCTAGGCTTTGATTGAGACATTAGAACCAACCCAGGTTAGGTTTTCTAACAAAGAAAACAAAATAAGTAACATATTAGTATTCATCAATCACATCTCACAACTAGAACTCCATAGGCATCTAAGCCACGATTTATATGTGTTCTTAGGACTTAGGTATGTAGCTAGATAGCTAGCTAGCTAGATAGGGCGGTAAATTTGTTTTTTCTTTACTTGTTTTGGTTGAAACTAAGTTAGCTTTGATTAGAAATTAATTAAGCACAGGAGTTGCTTAGATGTATGAACATTAATGTAAATTTCGTAGACTCCACCCTCAAAATTGTATGTACTTTCCATCACAAAAAAGGTACTTCCTCCGTCTCAAAATTATTGTTCAATTTAATTTTTTATTAGTTTAAACAGTACTAAAATTGAAAATACAAACTGGATAATAATTTTGGGACAGAGGGAATATATATTAAATTGAAAATTGTGAATCGTATTATAAATAATAAAATTTTTAATTTGTAATGTGGATTATTTTTTAGGAGACGGAAGAGTACATTATTAGAAATTTATACTCGATAAAATGAATAAATTAGACTTTTCTTTTTTGTTTTTTTTTTAAAAAAATCCATAAACTCCCAATCTTCTACTACTCTTCAAATGGATTTCAATATTCGAATCTAAAAGAGATTTTTCACAAAGTTTATTACCCTTGCCAAAAAGAAAGAGATTGCTTAATTAATGAAAAACATGGAAAGGTATGTTTGTTTCTCTTAGTTATTTAATGTAAGGAGTTTGCTCAATTGGTCACTCTTCAAGCCTTCATATATTATTTCTTGGATTACACAACAAACATACATAATGAAATACCACATATGGTATCATTATACCTTATCGTGCATGTCGCAAATGAATCTTATATTAATTGCCTTCTGACAAATCAATTTGTAAATGGCCATTGAAAAAGAACAAGTTTATTTCTCACAAATTCGTGTTGCTATATACATTTACATTGTTTAAGCCAAGTAACGTAACAGCTCCTCTTGATGAGGAGGTCTTCGGGACTTGGTTTCATATACTTCATCCTTCGATCTCCTCTAAAAAGAGTTACTAATGACATCGATATGCAACACTAAACTTTTCTCTATTTTTCTCTCACTAAACACTAAAATAGGCCACTCTATTGAGTAATTGAATTGATAATTTCTAAATTTAACAGGAAATGAATAATAACCGTCTATATTTATATTTTTTTAAAATGTATATGTATATAAGTGTTGGAGGATATTTAAGATTTATTTACTTCATTACTCGTAAATTTTTCTGCATGTATCACGATGGTTGTTTAGACAAAATAAAGACTGAAAATACCTGAAGCCTGACTCTGTTGCAAAGCAATTAAAAAGCCCAACGCTCGCTGTTATTAGCCCAGATAGGAAAAAACAAAAATCCACGACCCAGCCCAAAAGCTGCCAAGTACCAAACCCGTTAAATCGTCGACCCGGTTTAATGAAATGAGGGGTTTATCAGCTTTTCGTTTTCGCCCGGCTTTTTCCTTTTTCGGGGGTTTTCTTCTGCTGGGAACAAAATTCAGAGACTAGGGCAGAGAGCTTTCAGCACTCCACTCTATTCAGTTCTTCCCAGATAACTTTCTTCTCATTTCGCTCCATTCGTTCCATTTTCCCAACCGTTGTCATCATTTTACCCTCATTCTGGCTCTTCCTCAGTGAAGGTTTGATTTGTGCTTGTCTTCATTTCAAATTTTTTGTTCTAGTTACTGATTTTTTTTTTTTAAATTTTTTTTTTTGTAATTTTGTTTTGGTTTCTTTTTTTTTTTATTTTTTTTTTTATGTTTCGGTGTGTTGTATGTGGAACTTTGGAATTTGGATATCATGATTATTGGTTGGATTATGTAGTTGTAAAGTGTAACTGGACTGGGGGAAAGAAATGTGGAAGAGGTGGTTTGTTTGGATTTTAATATCTGTTGATTAATGTTTAAGTTGTGGCGGGAAAATGATAAGAGTGTGTTGCTTCTCTAATTCATTCTGGGAAATGTTGGCTTCTTCAATTGAATTTTGTATTTCTTCGGGTTATACTCCTTTGAAGTTGACAGTAGCATAATTGAGAATTAATCAGAGATTTTTTTTAAAAAAATTAATATTACTTATTTCTGGGAAGTAAGGTTTTGGGGTGCTGGAAAGAAAGAGGGGGCGGGGGGTTGTGTACTGTGGAGTATCAATTGTGGCCTTAAGGAAATTTATGTAGCGCGAATAGTAATGCATGATAGTGTTTATGAATTAAAGATGTTCATTTAAGAGGGGCTTTTAGAAAGAATTATATGTTATTAATGTTGTTGTTTTTCTTATGTAAATGATAATGGCCTATTTGGGGCTGAACTTTTACCCAAGAATAAGAGGAGTGATGTTGTGTTGAAAGGCTAGTTCTCTTTTACCTTGTTTTTGCGTTTTTTCCTTTTTTATTTTGTTTGTTTTTGGGTGGGGTTTGGGGTTGGGGGAGGGCTGAATTTGTAGCTTGCTGATGATACCTAAAATTGTTCCCGTATTTGTATAACAATGACAACACTTTCAACAGCCATGATTTCTAGATTTGCCTGTTATTGAAGTTAAAGTATCATTTATGAACCTCCTTTTCAGTAATGTCTGTTTTGATTCTCGAGCCGCTTTTTGCTTGATATATGTACTTGATTACTGTGTAGATAATCCAGACCTGGCATCCGTTGTGATGGTATAAAAAGAGTTCTTTTGTTCTTACTTTCTGTCAATATATGCATTGGCTCCATCATACTAAAAAGAGCTCCTGTGGTTTCATCAGAAAGGATTTATACAATTTTAAATGAAACTGCAGTTTCAGTTTTTTATCAGTCTTAAATTTTCTTGCTACTTTTTCCTATTGTTATTCTTTCTAGCTTCTGTGATTATTCAGTGTTAACAACATTTTGCCTTTCCATGCTTCCATAACTTTTAGGTTGTTGACCAGACATGTCATCTGATACCATTAAGGAAAATTTATCTGTTGTTGATTCATCGGTGACTGATTGGAGGAATGACTTGGGGAACTTGGAGGGTCCAGGTGCTGATTTTTTTTTTTTTTTTGTTCTTTTCTTTTTTGCTTTAGTTGAGTTCTTAATTCTGTATCATTCCATGAAATTTTCTCGGGCATGTCTGTTTTTACGCTCCATTTTGGTTGCATTTTTTTGTTTCCTTTTAAGCAATTAACTGTTGTGAGTGAAACTGGAACCCTGAAACTAAGATTCATTGAACTTCGAATTTAATTTCCATTCCATGTAATATAACCCAATTTTAGTTTTCTTCAAGATGAGGGAAAAGAGGCGATGATTAGAATGTGATTTTTTTGATGAAGAAGCTATAGTTGGTAGTGTTTTTCTTTTTTATCCATATTTTGTTTGTGTGCTCTGACCACCGTTGATGTTCGATTTTTAAATCTTGCTCATTTGCTTAAATTCCGTGTATTGGGTTTGCATATTTTGAATGATATTTTTTCGTACAGGTTTTTTCAGCCTAATTTGTAGACGGACTATAGAAAAGATAATAACCAACTATGTCTGATATGCACTTTACTGACTTTCAGCATATCAGGCATTCATTATTGAGCAATATGAACTTGTATCTCATAATCCTGAGGCTGTATGTGTATGTTGGTTAGGGAGTTGTTTTTTGTTGAGACTCATTTTTTTGGTCGGGAGTTTGGCATTTTAGAGTTAAGATTTGGACAAAGTTCGTTAATGTGACCATGTCACATGAATTGCATCCAAGTTAAAGTTGCTTTATTTTGTGCTCTGATGCGCTACTTTATCCTATCACCATTGGCCCCTCCTCTCCCTCTCCCCCTTCCTTGGATATGATGATTGACCTCAAGACACAAAGAAGAGCTGGGGCCACGGCTTTGTCACTCATGGCCCTGGAAACATTGGAAGAACGCTGAATGAATGCACAGACTTCAGAGGCATGCACAGACACGCAAAGAATGTTCTACCACCAGATCTCTGCTAGAAGTATCACAGTGGTAGTTTGAGGATGTGACATGAGGAATTCCACATGCTTCACAACTAACTCCATTAGCCTGTTGTCAACATTGATAAGTTTTAGTCACTTGTGCCATACAAGTGAGAATTATCTGAGATGTAAATCTGGAAATATTGCTCTGAATGACTAAAATCGTCTCTTATTACTGAAAAAACATTTAAGGAGGATACTGTGGGCTCTTTTTTTACTGCTCAGATATTTGAATATAATTTTATTATCATGTATTTTGATACGCAATTATTTGGAACTGGTGGTTGCTGAATTTCTGTATCATTAAGAGTTTGGATTTTGTTGTTTTGATAAGTTTATTTCTTATTTTCTTGTTCCATTTATTGGTTTTGAGAAGTAGGATTGGTGAGATGTAAATCGTACTTACATAGAAAAGGTTTTTAGAAATATTTTGCCAGCAAGAAGCTGTTTATAGGATGAAGATTTGTTTTGTCAATGCTATTTCTTTAAGTATATATAATTTCTAGAACTCTTCTTAATTTGGGATCTTGTATGGATGATTATATGTGCAATACTAAATTTACCTCTTGATATGCGAGAAGAGTATTCATTGCGGTATCTGATGCAATACCTGTAAATATCACCTGGTCTGTGAAACCGCTTCTCAAACAGGATAGTGTTTTCTAAAAAAATCAGTTTATTTTAGCTCTGTGTTAGCCATTCAAGTGAATAAACTAGTAGTCATTGTGTCAGAGGACCAAAGCCATAGAGCCAATGTGGATGGCTGTCCAATGGGAGCAGAAGAGCCTGGGATCTTTAGTGAACAGCATCAAACTTCTAGTGATGAAAACAAGGGTAAGCCATCCAATACAAGATATTTCATTATCAAGAGTTTGAATCATCAAAACATTGAGTTGTCAGTTAAGAAGGGGATCTGGGCTACTCAAGTCATGAATGAGCCTATTCTTGAAGAAGCTTTTCGTGTAAGAATTCTTTTTATATAATACACTATGTTTATCTATATCTGTATGTTGCATTCTTAAAGTATATCTGCTTTTCTTTGCAGAATTGTGGCAAAGTTATTCTGATTTTTAGTGTCAACATGAGCGGATTCTTTCAAGGTTATGCTCAAATGATGTCTTCCATTGGTTGGCGGAGAGATAATGTTTGGAGTCAAGGAGGTGGTGGAAATAATCCTTGGGGGCGCACTTTCAAAGTTAAATGGCTGAGGTTATATGATTTGCCTTTCCAAAAGACTCTTCATCTGAAAAATCCATTAAATGATTACAAACCAGTCAAAATTAGTAGAGATTGCCAGGTATAATTTCACTTTTTGCACTTTCCTAAAGTTACTTGGTATTGTGTGAGAATATCTTGGATTGAGTCAGATGCATGTATACCATTTTATATGACTCCAATTCTGCTTCTCCCAGGAGTTACCCCAGGATATCGGCCAAGCACTTTGTGAACTTCTTGATGGGAAGAATGATATAGAACTCAGTTTAAACAGGTTAATGATTTTGCAATTTAGCATATGTGTACTACAGATTTTATGTTAGCAAATTCATTTGCTGTCCGGAGATTGTGCAGGGAATTGTCCACAGATGATACTTTCTCAAGAAGGTCTCACTTGGAGCCTTCTAGATCATTACAAGTTGAAAACTATGTTCCTTCTATGCGTATGGGACCTGTGATGTACCCATCATTACTTTACCATCACCAAGCTGATGCAAGTAGATTCTATGGAGGTCATCAGATGTCAAGGGGTGAGTTTTCTTTGCAGGACTTTGTTAATCCCTGTGGTGCTGCATTACCTTTAAAAAGTTGATATTATTTGTTACAGGTGGGAACCCCGGTAATTTTTGCGGGGATGTTGATACATCTGCTCCCTTTAACGTTCGGGGCCAGTCAGCAGAAAGAAGTCCCTTTGGCAGTAGCCTGACTGAAGATGATTTCCTGGATATGGTAGTATTTGTTTATTTAAACTATGGCATTTGTTTGAGCATCTTGGTTTCATTGTCTTTGCTTTTGTTTTAGATAATCTTTACTTTTGCTGTTCAAAGTTTGTGCTCGGAAAAGAAATTGAGATCCATCAAACCCATATAAAGTACTTGGTATAGGGGTTATCATTTATGTATAAAGAAAGAATTTCAAAATACTTTCTCAGATGATCTTTTCCAAGTCTAAATTAAGAAAAGAAGACAGGTGGCAAAAAAGAATTTCTAATTGCTTTGTTTATCATACAATAAAAACAGAAAAGATTCTTCTGCTTTTGTTTAATTGCTTGTTTATTTCTCTTATTATTTTCCACTCCAAAAAAGATTTAGTTTCTTTGTGTAAATGTGTGGTTTTCACTCAAGGTGTGGTAAAATATGATGATATATAGCTTACTCTTTTGAGTTTAGAGTCCCTTCTGACATAAATTTACTAAGATTTGACGGAGCGTGATGACAACTTATGACACATAGCTGATCCTCACTGCAGGACAAAGGCTTATTGTTGTTGTTACGGTCATACATTTTGTAACTGATCACCTGTTCTTTTTGGTCTTCATTTCATATTCTGTTGTTCATAGTGTACCTTATTCCTGAAATTTGTATGGTTTACCTTGCTTTTGTATAATCTTGCAGACATATGAAGAGTACCTCGAAGCTCATAGCAGAGGCAGTAAGAAACTCTATGAATCTGTGAGTATCCTTTATGTCTGTCGATCTTACAACTTTTGTTTGATTTGGATGGATGAACAGTTTTATGTATTAGCATCTCATAAAAAATAGTCTAAAGTTCATTTTGGACAATGTGTTGTGAATTATACATAATGGAACCTTCCATCAATTAGAATATTAATTCACTTGCATGTATTTTGGTCTTCAGTGGTGTTGTATGTTAATTATCATTTAAAACATGTACTTGTTCATAAAATAATACTATCTCCGTCCCATAAAAATAGTCCACATTGAGTTTTCAAATTTGTACTAAAAACAGTACAAAACTCAAAACTCAATGTGCACTATTTTTTTGGGACGGAGGTAGTACAATAGTTCATGATTCATGATCCCTGTTGTAGTTTTACCTCATATTTTTTATTTCTGTAACTTCTTCCTTGGTTAGAGTTAAGTTGACTTATGGATGTGGAATGATGTTCTATCTGGCAGTGCGCTTTGCCCACCAGCAGCATTAAAAAACCAGCAGTTACCAGAATGTCTTCTGAAAATAAGTAAGCATATGATAGTTTTTCCTCGCATGGATGATGTTTGGGCGTTGAAGTTGCATCAAAGTGACTTGGTGAACTTGATTTTGCAGACAGTCAAGCAGCAGTTCGAAGAAAAGGCCTCGTCAAAGATCCCCTCGATGATAGTTGCTTCGTTTATGCCAAGACTTTTGGTAGTCGATGCATCAGAATGCTCTATCTAATGTATCCTAGTGTTGACAGATAGTCTTTGCTGCTACATATTTCCTGATTCGTCGACTGTGGGAGTTCACTGTTGTAATGTTGATGTCAACTATAAATGATTCCATTAGCAAACATTCTTTCGACTACGGGTAGTAACAAACTTGTACAGAAAACGGATGTTGTCTACCCTAACTTGGGGCATTTGAGGTCCAAGTGCTTTATACTCCGTCATATTGTATAGGATGTAGGAATTAGTGTTTTCTAGTAGACTTCTGCTAACAGCCTGAACGTGGCTAATGAACTAGTAGATGTTCCAGCTCAAGGACCTGCCAAAAACTGTTACAGCTTAAGAGCTTTTTGGGATGGCCGCTTACTGTTGTATGGTTAATGGTTGCATAGTGATTTAACTATTAACATTATGCGCAGACGCAGCGGACATATTCAGAGTAGGGATTGGTTTTCCAGGTCTGAAAGGCTTAGTGATACTGTCACTTGAAATCAAAATGAGAATTGCTAAATAGAAAGATTGGCTACTAATTCACGGGAGATATTTATTGAGACGATAATTATTAGGAGGTAGCATTTGCGGCATAAATATATTTATTAGTATGTGTTACTTGCTGGTAATTATAGAGTCAATTCGGGTTTCACAAAGGCTCTTGAAGGACGAATGCATTGGATTAAACATCGAACATGGTGACATTAGGGAGACGGTTGCTAAATTATCATATTTAAAATCAAATGTACTACTCATATACGGCACGACGAAATCAGGGTGCATTAGCACCAATGAAATCAGTTTATGATCAACTTGTTTATGATTTCAGTCATAAGCTACTGATAATGACTTTTATCTCCGGTGTTTCCTCATTGATTTCTTTTGCCGGCTCTTCAACAGACTGCCCGCACCAATGCACTTCAACCTTTTGCAGGGTAGCAATACCAGCGAATTCGGATGGAATTCTCTCCAAACCCTTGCAATTGCGTAACACTAGTTGTTCTGGGCTGGGAAGGTGATCATAGGAGGCATCCCATTCAACAAGGCTCATGGTGTCTAATTCCAAGAACTTGAGTTCCTTGAATTCCTCTTCCCTCGTGTCCCATTTCTGCCCCTCCAAGGTGCCAGCTCGCAGTTTCACAACTCTCGGATTTGGCAGCTTCCCAATCACAGTAAGATGGTTCGCTTGTAGCCTGAAGTTTGACAAACTCAGTTTCTTGAGACTTTTGAGGGAGGAGAAAATCCTCAGGTTTTGGAGTTCCACCAAAGCAAATAATCTTCAGTGACTCCAGATTACTTAAGAAGTTCCACCTGATGATCTCACTGCCTTCGTCGCAGGTGTCCCCGGACTGCCAGAATATGCATCTTTATTTTTGGAGGTTTGGCATCCTTTTTAATATCCTCCATCTATTATTATACCTGCAGGACAGCGATGGGGTGGAAAAGCTGACCAAATTTTCCAAATGAAAAGAACTTCCTGCAAGACCTTGCAAGTTGAACACGGCATGATTGTTCACGTGAAGATGCCTCAACCTAACCATACTCCAAATAGTTTCCGGTAAGATGACCTTGCCTCGCGATCCTTTCGCCACCAATGTCTCAAGTTTCCACAACTTAGATACTGATGGTGGAATAGATTGCATATATCTACTGAGAGCTAAATATCTCAACTGGACCATTAGCCCTATTTCATCAGGGAAGCTATTTGCCATGATAGATTCCAAATCCAGAAGCCGAAGTAACTTGAAGTTGTTGCCGATAAAGGAGATGTCATAAGGACATTTAGGCTCTGAATCTGATGAAGCACAGAATGTCAAGGACCGAGCAACCGGGCCAGAAGGCCGGGAATCAACAAAATGTGGTCGTTTCACATTAAAGCTCAACCTGTAGCTATTGAATATTACAGGAGCTAAAAAATTGTTACTACCAAACTCCAGATCATACTCTGAATCAGGGAAAGACGCATATGGCTCATCATGCTTGTTCACCAGTTGCTGGAAGTTCTCTTCCTTCGCTTTCAAGTGACAAAGATCAAGCAACAGATCATGAAGACGGCTAGTTCTTACCTTTCCATTGGACCTTGTTTTGTGGATGCTCACTAGGCTTCGGCCAACCAGCTCCATCAATTGATCCTCTGCAACCTCCTCCAAGCTCTTCCTTTCGGTTTCCTCTATGAACCCTTCAGCCATCCAAAAACGAATCAACTTCCTCACTGGAATATCTTTGTCCTCAAGAAAAACTCCCAAATAGATAAAACATGCTTTGAGAATTCCAGGCAAGTGCTTATAACTCAGTTCTAAAATTTCCATGCAGCGATTTTCTGGATCCTTGATTATCTCCGAGCTCAAGCTTTTGGTGACTTATTTCCATGAACCCTTGTTTTTCTTTAAGCTTTTGGAGAACACCAGCAATCGTAACAATTGCTAATGGTAAGCGTTGACATTGTCGAGCAATCTCCATTCCAACTTCCAACAATTCCTCGGGGCAATCCGCACCTTTATATATCTTGTTTTCTAAGAATTTCTAACTTTCAACATCCGACAATGGACGAACAGGATGCGAATCACTATCAGCTTTGATTCTTGAGGCCACATCCTGGCGACGACTGGTTATGAGAATTCTAATTCCATTCCTGTCATCCGGAAAATAATACTCTAAGTCATTCCAAGCTGCATTATCCCATATATCATCCATAACAATCAAATACTTAATTTTCAACAAGTAACGACGCAATTTGGATAGCAGGTCATCATCAGTCATTTTATTGATGTCTTTAGTAAGCACATCAATATGACTTAATAGCTCAAGCAACAACTCCCTTTTGGAGTATGTTTGTGAAACAGTACACCATGAACGGCGATGAAAATAACACACCACATTCGGATTGTTAAACACTTTTCTAGCTAGAGTTGACTTACCAATACCGGGCATGCCAACAATCGAGACCACATCCTGCAGTGAGGACCTTTTGGTGAGGCGATCAACTATTACATTTTCTTCATCATCAAGATCAACCAGTATCTCATTGATTTCTGGTGTACTATCTCTTGACACTGTCTGCAATGAAATCTGTGGGAGGTTTTCTACTTGGCTGGCATGCGATACCTCACTGATTTTGCTGATTTGTTGATCAAGACGTCTAATATCCTCCAGGACATCATATAGCCATAGTGATTCCTGCAAGTGACCATCGACTTCAATTGCCTCAACAACATATTCTAGTTTATATGCTGCCTCTATGATGTGATTCCTGAGGTTCTTTAGTTCTCCCAGCTTGACATTGGCATCTTTCACTTGCAAAAGGAAAAGCATCAAAGACTCAAGATGCAACAGAACTTCCTCAATACGATACTTGATGGGTGTGATTGACTCAAATTCCTGTTTCCGAAACTCCTTTATGTTTCTGCATAGGAAATCAAAGCACTCCAGTTTCGGGAAGAGGGACTTGGGAAACTGCTTACTTGTCTCCCTGAGATAAGCCTTGATTTTGTTCACCAAATCAACAATTGAGGCAATGAATGTACAATGTAAGAAAGAAGTGTCATCTCCCCAACGACAACTTCAAGTTGCGTAATTGCTTCATTTGATGGGTTACTTGCCAGCTTCATTTTTACAATCACTTTAAAATAATCAAGCTCCTCAACAAGGTATTGAATTTCATCCCTCTTGTGAGCTTTCACAATGTCACCACTCTTCAGTAACTCTGCTAAAAACGAATCGGCCTTGAAAAAGACGATCCTGAAAAGCAACTGCAAAAGTAAGAGCTTTACAAAAGGACCAGTTGTCTTCTTGGAAAGAAGTGACTTCTGAAGGGATTCTATCTCGTTTTCCAACTCTTCAGCAAGTACCAAAGTCTGCCTCACAAATTCTGTGTTCTCTTGCTGACTTAGATCTTTGGTAAAAGCCCCCAGGTCCGTGAGGATCATATTGACTTTGAAAAATCGATCATCATTGAAAAGCATCGAGGCATTGGGAGTGACGAGTTGTCGTTTGAGGAAAAGCTCTGCCCTGAGAAGACAAACTTTTGATCGCAACTCTGAACAGGATGGCAATGCAGCAGCTACATTCGGCTTGATTAATTCCCGTGTGAATAAAACACTATCGCCATCTTCGACAAGATCTTGTTGCAGGATATGGAGTGGAAAGGCTGCCTCCGCAAGAAGTGACAAGATCTCTGTAACCAAATTGTGCATTACCTCCTCACCAGCCTCTAGTTCATTCTCAATGTAAAGGGTAACAAGGGAACTTAGCTCCTTTCCAATACCTGTATCACACCCATTGAGAAGATAGTTGCAAAAGTCAACTACATTAACACACCCTCTGTTGCCATATCGGTCTTGAAGTTTGTAAGAAGCCTCCAGGAGTGTGAGATGTGACTGCAGGAACTCTAGATTTGTCGGATCAATCTCCCGAAGCAAACTAACAATTTCAACCGCTGTAGCATTTGCAGTTTCAGGGTCGTTTCGACCAAACCAGAAACTACAAGAGCGAAATACAATCCTCTGGACAACAGAATGAGCATCACCAAATGTGTCTTCATGTGGACAAAAATCAGCCATACATCTCAAGTACCTGCAGATCATTTCCAGCTCACCGCATAGTAAAGCTATATTGTTTACAACAACACCACAACCTGCATCATTGAAGAAACACATATGTTTTGCAATATGTTCACGAAGAACAAACAAATCAGTAGATTATTTACCCCTCGGAAGAACTTGTGATATGGGTAAGTCCTTCAGGGCGTCTCGAATCTGTGTCTCAATGAGCTCATCAGTCTTTGTTTGGCAGTAACTGAGCATACTTGGCACTTCTTGTGAGGTTTCCAAGTTAAAGTATCGCAGAATCTTTTCCGCCACACCACCACAAATGTTCAAGAAGAAGTATGTTCTAATCTCCATAATCTCCTCTACATCACTGTAATATGTGGAAGACACAAACATTTGCAGAAAAAACCAATCCTGACCGAGTTTATTGATTTTTTCAGCGACACAATCTAACCGCTGATAATGATCATCATCCAGATCAGCCATGCGCCCCCCTGATGTTTCTTTCTCAATATTAGTTTTCAGCTGAATGAGTGACTCCTCAAGATTCTCCAAAACATTATAATGTATTGCATAAATTATAATCTTACCAGCTCTTTCTCAAATCCTGCAGCTCTGAAAGAGCAAAACAAGGTGAAAAATATTGAAATTTTGAATGAAATTTCAGAATTATTGCTAGATTGCAAGATAATTTTTTTTTTTTGGGTAAATAGATCGCAAGATAAATTTAGTTGAATCCATCTAGCCACGGTCCTGACCCCCTTTTCTTTTTTAAGGAAAAACAAATTTACTCGTGTGAAACAATTATGCAACACTTCAAGTTGTTTGGTTTCAGTTTTTTAAAACAGATGTTTTTATACTCCAACAACGTTAACTATGCAAAAATGATACTACCTCCGTCCCAAAAAAATAGTCCACATTAAATTTTAAAATTTGTACTAAAAATAGTATAAAACTGAAAATTCAATGTGGACTATTTTTTTGGGACGGAGGTAGTACTTCAAATTTCTTCATCTTAACTACCACTAATCTCATAATGTTAATTTAACAATACCCTTCTCTGTCTAATAATTGCTCCTCTCAACTCAATATATATTTGCAAATATGAAATGGGATGGTATCGAGTAAAAAATCATCCCCTTTACCCTATTAAAACAGAAGACATGAAGCTAATGTGGCGACTACATATGAATCTGTTTTGGCTCCAATGAAAAAAATTCTACAAATAAGGATCAGTTACATTTCAAACGAATGGATATATTAATTCAAATTCAAATGTCCAATCGTACAGTCAATAGAATTTCCCTTCTCTACTTCTTTTAGCAATATTTTTTCCCTTAATTATGGATATTCCCTTCTCCACTTCTTCACGATCTGTTTTAAAAAATTTCACCATAGATTCATCCTATAAAATAGCACAATTATCATAAACCAGTACATCACAAATCAAGGATTTCAAAATTGAAATAATTAACACACGCCACTATACTACAAATCAAGGAGTTCAATAAGAAAACAAATTTCAGAAAACCAAACTTGATAGTAACATGACTGTATTCAGTTTGCAGATCAAATATTTTTTAAAGAGCAAATTATTCCAACATTATCTTCCAAATCACAAAATCGAATGAAGATCAACTCAAAAAGATACGTCTTATCACAAAAAATAGTAATTCAATTAGATTTTAATAAAATAGTAATTTAGAGAGGCCACCCGGGCATCTGCCCAGTCCAAGCATCTAGTTATATTTATTACGAATTGAAGTAAGAGGTAAAAGGATAGACAACTGATCTCAAACTACATGAGATCTACAACAAATTTAGATTAAAGAAAATTAACAAGTTTTTGAAGGTTTAAAAAGAAAAAATAAATAATTACAAAACACATGGCTTAACATATTCCATATATCCACTTAAATATATATATATATATATATATATATATCAAATATCGAAATCTTTTGCTTGCTAAAAAAATCCATTTAAACACACAAAATACTGTTCTTACATAATGAGTAAAGACACTTTTTCAACAAAAGCTATAAAGGAGAGCAGCACACGAAGACTGCATACCCTAACTTGCTGATGAATGGCTTCTGATAGAATAGAATGATTAAATTCTCTTCTTCTTCTTCTTTTGTTTATGGGGTTTTTTTCCTTTTGGGGGCGTGGGTTGGTTTAATTAACAAGAAATAAGGAAATAAACGTTTTTCACTCTGTCCTAAAATTATTGTCTAGTTTGATATTTTACTTTTAGTACAATTTGAACTATAAATAAAAATTTAAATTGGACAACACTTATAGGACGGAGAGAGTATAAAATTTTAAGGAAAATACTGAAAGTGTCTGACTGAAAGGGTAGTTCACCGAAGTTCAGAGAGTTTGTAGGAGCTAAATTGAAACCAGTGTTGTAATGCTAAAAATGAACAAAGAAGCAAGCAGGTCTCTATTTCTTTCCGACAGTCTAATATAGAAAATCAACTTAATCAATGTCAGGTAAGAACAAAAGGACGGGGCGACATTAACATATACAGAATAAAATTCAAGCTTTCACTGATTTAAAAAAAAAAAAAAAAAAAAAAACAAGCGTAAGGATTGAGGAGTACTTCAAAAGAATTAAATCACATGCTTTTTTCATTTTTTTTAAACGATAATCATTATATTAAATAAAAATAACTTTCTCATTATCAATGGATGTACATTTATTGCACAAACAATGAAAACGGCAGAATGAGAACCCGTGTCCAAAAATCGGACACACACCACGAAAGTATATGTCTCGGATGGGAAGGACAAAAAATAAAAATGGCAGATTTGTGAAACCGGCTTTTGAGCCAAAACCCGATTGTGAAAAGGGTGGTGATATCGCTAGAGCAATAATTAGCATTTAGAGCAATTTTTATACAATTTCTTAAAATTACTCCTAGTTTAGTCAAAGTTTAATTTTCTTCCCTCTGTGTCCATCATTCTCCGGTCACTGTTCATGTAGTTTCTCCGAGCATCCTACCACTAAGCAGCTCTCCGACCTTTCACAAATACGAATTCCACCAACATCACCAATCATCATGTGATAAATACAATATACATCAAGAACCAAATTAAATGAAACCCTTCGATTCTTCAATTAAAATATGAGAAAACTAAATTCTAATAATCCCATTATCAATCATCATGAAGAAATCTAAAATCTGAAAATAATCTAAATCCGGCTAACTTTTTAGGAAAAAAAAATCCCTTTTCCATCTTTACATCATCATTAAAATCCATAGACAATCAAAATTTCACAAACTCATATTTTTCGAAGAAAACTGATAGCATCCGTTTAAATTCAACCATATCCATTCTCAATTAGAAAAGAAAAACCCAAATACAATCTTGAATCTGGATAGTGGGTACTGTATGGACTAAAAAAACTAAAAAGGAAAGAAAAGAAACAAAAAGCATCACGTTTTGTTATCAAATTTGGAGATATCTAAGTATTGAAAAATTTGATGGATCAAGATCTCTAACTTCAAGATTTGGCTCTAAATTTAGAGAAAGAATTTTGCTGCTTAATTTTTGATAATCATAATTCTCTGTTTAAATTCATCTCTCGGGACCGGTGAATGATGAAAAATGAAAGAGACACCAGTGAGGAAATAATAAAGCTAGAATTTGAAAAAATGAGGATAATCTTGAAAAATTGTGTGAAAATTGCTCTGGATGCTAATTATTACCCTAGTAATATCATCAGCCTTGTGAAAATTATAATTCATATGTACACCAATTACGTAATAATATTAAAATTATACTCCATATACTATCATCATTAGTCGTGTACCGGATTTCGCAGATCCAACTTTAGTGAAAATTGGATTGGCCTTATTCGTCTTTTTTTTAAAAAAAAAAAAAATTTATGGCCTTTATTAAATCATTCATTTTTTTTTTCTCTTTTTAATGACTTTTAGAAGAATATTAAAAAGTAAAAGGAAAAAGCAAAATATAAATATAATTTTATTTTTTAAAAAAAAAGTGTTTATGGCTTGTCCATAAAAAAAAAGGCCGGAAAAGCACATATTTTCTGCCATTTTTCCTTTTAAAATATTTTTTCTTTCTATTCTTTTGGCACATTTTTAATTTTTTTGTTTTACAAGGAACTATTTTATTTATTTATTTATTTTTAGTGTTTTTTAAAATTTTGATTATTTTTCTTTTCTTGTTATTGTATACAGTCTTACATTATTTTTTTCCTCAGACTTTTATTCCCATCATTTCTTTAAATTTATTTTTAGTGAGTTAGACAATAAATTTTATAATAGTAGACCAAATTATAATAATCTAAATCAAATGTTTCAATTTATAATTTCACGCCATTCAATTACTAGACACATACAACCTAATTTAATTGAAACATGTGAATCAATTTGAATAATTAGAGTTCAAAATCAAATAATCAAAAAATCATGCAAATACATAACGTATTTAGAAAATATAATGTAATTGAAAAGATGAACAAAAAATAGTAAAAAGTTAAAAGACCCAAAATAAAATGTTAAAAAAATTTAATTTAATAATTTTAGATTGGAATAGATTAAAAAAAGTCAAATAACAGATAAGAAAAATAATTTTTTTAAAAAATAAATAAATGGAAGAAAACGAGGTCCAAAGAAATATTCTTTTTTCATCTCAAAAACAAAATTTAGAGTTTTATTTTGTTACATAACTGAAACTTCGAGTGAAATTAAAATTTCATTCGAAGACTATCTCTGTTTGGTTTGTTTTTGCAAGGGTTTTTTTCAGAATAACAAGTATAATAATAAATGTTTAATCTCATCGTACATTTTTATGTTTTTAATACAATTTTTTACATTTTTTTTTAAAAGTTCCCTTATAACCCTTGGTGGGAATCAAACCCTAATTTATTACCAGGAAAGACAGCAACCTAACTACTAGAATGTCATTCAAGTCCCATACAATTTTTTACATTTCTAATACGAAAAACATCTAAAACACACATACTAAAAAAATGATCCAAAAGTGTTTTTGTATAATTTTTCCTTAATTGTTTATTTTATTTTTTGGATGGTTTTTTCATAATAATAAAATAATAACTGTTCCATCGCAGCATATCTTTTTACATTTTTAATACTCACACGGTCTTTATTATAAGACATTTTGATTTCGTCTTAGGTGAAATCTTAAAAACATTTCTTAGTAAAACATAAGGAACGTGAAAATATATTTTTAATATTTTTTTTCAATAAAAAACATCCTAGTTAAAATCTAGGACGAAATCAAAATGCCTTATAATAAAGACCGGAGGGAGTACACTATTTTACATTCTCAATAGAAAAAACACCTAAAAACACATACTAAAAAAACGAAACAAACATAGCATTAAGTGTTGAATAAGTTATATTTGGTGATAAAAAATTCGTTGCTGAAAACTTTGTGGTGACTCATTTGGCAAAGAGGTAAACATTGGGGACTAGAATTTGCTCTTAAGGAAAAAGCCTATGTGGAAACAAACACACATCAGACACACGGGTTTGCTGGCCTTTTTTGACACTTGAAAGCAAAGAAATCATCTAGTTGCCGCACTTACAGTTACAGCTACACAGCGTTGTTCCTCTGGGTTGATTTATGATTTGTATATTCAGAAACGATTGATGGATAACAAAAGAAAAATTACTGCTGAAGAAGTGTTAACCAAAATCAAAGACGACGGCGATTTCGATAGGCTTCGCCTCAAGATTGTACGCAAACTCAAAGACGATGTAAGCCCTTTTGTTTTAAGCTGCCCAGATGCTTAAATCTGTTTCTATTTAGAGATAAAGTTGCTATCTTTGATTCGTTTTTCTCAGTTCAGGCAATGTGTTTGATATCTGATTTTGATGGTTAAGAATCATTGTGCTGGAATTGGTGTATTTATGTGGTTTTTAATTTAAACTAAGGGAATGTAGATTACAAGTATTTTGGTGATGGGGATTAGTTATTGTTGTTGAAGGACTGAACTAGTAGCATGATAGGTCCTACTTTGTGATGATTATGTTTAAAACTTACTAAAGAACTATGGCTAAGTTTGATAATGTACCTAGTTACGTTAAATTAGGGATACTTTATCCTGGTTGAACATTTGGGGGTTTACAAGGAGTGGTTGTTTAGATAGAGGAACTGGTTCTATTGAAGTTCCCTGAACCAAGAAACTAAAACTTTGCCTCCCCAGTTGGAATTTACCAGCTGAGAAATACCTTGTATCAGAGAGAAGACTGTAATGGCTGACGGTTACAAGACTGCACAGGTTAGGAGAGGATCATGGCATAAAGGGGTTATGACGCAGAATCATTTCTTTTTTCCTAGTCCAATTGGTATGAAAAGTCATCTTGGTTTCATTGGCATTATTAGGAACTGCATTTGAAGTTCTTTTGTTAAGGGCTTTCAGTGTACTGGATTTATTATCATCTGAAGAACTGGCGTTAGCTTTCTTTTGTTTTTGTCTTTCAAGAGAGTGAAAACAAATACGACCTCTTTACTTATTGGAATGACCTGTCGTGTAAGAATATATGTACTTTATGATTGATGATTTGGGAAAAAAAGACACTTGATAGAACAGCCATTCATGATATGTCCGAGAAAATTATCTTTCGTTCCCTTTCTTACACATGGAAACTGCATCTAATATTTACTTAAATTGGCTAATCATTTGTAGGGAGAACTCCGAAATAGCATCATATCAATGGTTAAACAATCAGCTGCACTTAACCGTCTGGGTGCTGAAAGTATGAAACCTCGGCAACTATCTGATGCCATACATAAAGAGATCGGGTACTTAGCTTATCTTTTTGGATTTTGATACTTGTCTTCGTTCCAGTAGCTTTACCTTTTTCTTTTTCGCAGTAGGTTTAATTTTCAAGGAAATCTTATTTTATGTTAAAAAGCACTTGGTTCCACGAAAAACTGGCCATGAGATTATTGACTACTACATCTTATTGTCTTGTGAGGAGCTAACTTTGTACTGTGAGTATGATTTATGACTGCTGAGTGATCCCTGAAATTTATTCCTCATCTGTTTTCATTCATCCTAGGAGCAAAGTCATGAACCAAATATCTGATGGTATCTGGACAGTACTTAGATCCGGTGATCAGATGACTGGCGAAATAACAGAAACTGTACAGACAGTATATAGCAAGTTATTGAACCCAAAGATGAATGAAATTGGTGGATCATCATCTGGCTCTGTTCTTACCCCTGTTCACGAGGGACATCATAATCAATCTGTTGCTACTTCTCACAATGAAATTCATGTCAACCAGTTCGAGGGGGAAACAAATGAACCGCCAGGGTTCAGCCGGAATGATCGAAATTATAGCAACGAAAACAACAGTGTTGATCACATTGAAGAGAGGGAAAGGATGGCGAGGCCGTGCAATGGTGAAGTACCAGTTGAAAGGGAAAAGACGACCTCCTCAACTGATGCATTGGAGTCCAGTCAGGCACTTCCGCATGTTCCTGAAGCCGTGGAGGCCATGGAATCAGAGGATAATGATGATGATGACCCTGATGTGCCTCCAGGATTTGGTTAATGAGCTGTCACAATTTGACTAGTTTCTGCGTGAAACCTATCTAAAACTTCCATGGAACATGGCAGGTTGTTCGTTTGTTTTGCAAATATTATTTAGCTACTAATGTATATTTTGAAGAGTTGAGGCAAGAAGTTAGGAAGCAATTATGCTAGGCTTTTTTCTGCTAGGATAGCATAGGCTATCGTGTGGCTATTGATGGCGTTCAACTTCTGTAGAGATTGTTTGGAGCTTAGGGCTATACTAGATCCATAAATGATGGAACTAACTTTAGTAATCTCCACTGGATGTTTACTGTAACCTTTAAGCTGTGCATACAGTTTTCTTTCTTAATGGTTAAAGAAATACCATTGCTTTATCTGAAGACAATTGATTTTGTTCCATGCTCATCACAACTTCTGTGAGATGGAGTTATGATTTGCAAAATATGTGCATCTGGCTAGACAGTACCAACCAGCAAAGCAGTAAAAGATAAGTGATCAAATGAAAGCTCAGATTCCCTGGAAAATTTTGTTTTGAAGACCATCACGAACTGCAGATGGCCAATTATTATAAAATATGCAATACGGGGATAACTTAATGTAGAATAACTAGAAACAGAAAATGCTTCAAACAGCTACAAACTGGAAAATGCTTGCTTCCAACTTTTGCAGCATGTATTTATGCTATATCAAATGAATTGAGATTGGGCTTCTGACTATGTGATTACTAGAAACCCAAGCAAGTGCCCCTTCCACATAAGTGTTGTTGATGGTCCTGTCAAATCGGCTGAAGGTTATTTGATAAATGATCTGCTGCTTAAATTCAGTAAAATTGAGGACAGAGGGTTGGACATCTATGATAACCCCTGGGAAACTGACTTCAATGTGATACAGAGAGTTGGCGTTACCAACATTAGTAACTGTCCTGGTGAAAGTCTTGTTAGCGGATCCAAGTTCAATCGAAAATGAAGGGTAATTTAACTGCGCTTCTGGTATAATCGAGATGGAAGCGCATTTAACCGGGTGCTGCATGATGATCTGAATCTCTATATCAGTATAACCCAAGCCACAAAGGTAAGGAATGTAATCATCAGGTTGGATGTCGTAAATTAGCCCAGGATCAGTGGCTCTTGGGGGATTGATATGGCCAGCGCCAACTGCGAAAATATCAGCTGGAAGCCTTCTTTCGTCAGTGATGGAACGAGAATTGACGTTCAAGGTGTTAGCAGTAGTCATCATAGCAGATTTTATAGCAGCTGGTGACCAATCAGGATGTGCACTTTTTAGTAACGCTGCAATGCCACTAAGGTGAGGACATGACATTGATGTACCTGAGATTATATTAAAGGTTGCTTTTGCATTTGTGTTGTTGTCAACAGAAAAAGGCCATGCAGCAAGGATGCTGACCCCTGGTCCAATAATATCTGGTTTCAGAATTCCAGGGCTAGCCAAGCTGGGGCCTCTTGAGGAGAATGAAGTAACTGCAGGTGCATCTTCTGTACCTATAACAGTTCCTTTGAACAATATTGTTGCTGTAGGTGTTGATGTGGAATTTATATATGCCTTGATCGCTTGTCCATCGGCAAAAGCCACTGCTGATGCTGGAAGAACATGCGCATCAGCTAAAGTGCTATATCCATCAGTCTCCTGGTTCATGAGAATCATGGCAGCTCCACCGGCTTCTTTCACAGCTTTCCCTTTGTCAATTCTTGCAATTTGACCACCTCTTTCGCATAGTACTACTTTCCCTTTGAAATTAGAGTTATTCAGTGAGCCTGGGGCACATACTGCAGCCATTGGGTCGCCATTCATGCCGGCATATACCAAAGGTAATAAGGTTCCAGGGATATCTTTTGGCTGGAAGAGCGATTCTCCATCAAATCCACCATGGTTTCCTAGTTCGACTATTGCTTGTATTTTCCTATCAATAGTGCTTGCTCCTACAGTGAGAATCCATGGAGCCTCATTCGATAAAGATGAATGGACTGGTCCTGCATTCCCAGCAGAACAGCTAACAAAAATCCCCTTCTGAATCGCGCCAAAAGCCCCAACAGCGATGTTGTCATTGAAAAACGGAATAGAATGCCCCCCTATTGAAAGAGACAGCACATCAACCCCTTCTTCGACAGCAGCATCCATTGCAGCTAGCATATCAGCTTCCTTACATCCCTCTTCTGAACAGACTTTATAAATGGCGAGGTGAGCGCGAGGAGCCATTCCCACAGCCGTTCCGTTTGCATTGCCGAAAACATTTGCACCTGCCACAAAGTTTCCTGCAGCTGTGCTCGAGGTATGAGTCCCATGTCCTTCAACATCAATAGGCTGGCCAGGTTCATCACTTGCAAAATTCCTTGCGCCGATGAGTTTGTTATTGCATCCAGTTTTATCTGTCAATTCACATTTCCCTTTCCACTTTGCAGGCGGAGGTGGCATGCCTTCATCATCGAATGATGGGTGCCCCGGTGTCACTCCAGTATCTAAAATCCCTATGATCACGCCTTCACCATAATTTGAGCCCGGCCAAAATCCAAAGTTCTGGTGAAGTCCCAAGAAGTTGGGAGTGTGAGTTGTATGTAGAGCCAAGATCCTTTGGGGTTTAACAGAAAGAACTCCTTCCATTTTCTCCATTTCTTTCGCTTCTTCAGGAGATAATCTGGCCGCAAAGCCTGTAACAACATTGCGATAAGAATGAACAAGGCGCGTAGCATCATGAGCATCTGTCACGGTGCTTGGCAAAAATGACAGGTACAAGCTATCTAGGTTATCCAACTTGGAAGAGATAGCATCGTCATGTAAACTTACATGAACAATGTATGTTCTGAGGTCTTGCGATATTGTGAAAGAGAAACAAAGCATGCAAATGGAAGTAAAAAGGAGTAGAAGCGAAGAAGCCATGTTTGGCAGCTTGATTTCAATGCTTCTCTCTTTTCTTGTATCTCTATTGCTTTTTTTATATCAGCGCCATTAAAGCTGATAGAACCTCATATTTATAGATGTGCTGATAGAACCTCATATTTATAGATGTTCCAATATGATGAAATGGAAATTGCAATGTGTGTCAAAAACTATTGTGTACCATGTCGAAATTTGACATTAAAATTTACCCAAAAAAAAAAAAAAAAAATCAACAACAAAGAAAACTGTTTATTTTGTCTGGGAGAGAAAGAAGAGTACGTAATATCTGTATACCGTAGCAAACCAACTGTAATACTCCAACTAGTACATGTGAATATGCCCTTGTTAGAAACGTTAAGTATTATATGGCAAGCTTTTATCTCGATTGGATGCCAAAATATTTTTCCAAATTCTTTTTGACAATTTGTAAAAATCCCTTAACTTTTAAGATGCATCTCTCCAGAAAATACCGTTTTGGCGATTAGTCTTAAGTATGTACACAATTTTGATTCTGAAGGGAATTTTGTTACAACGAAGATATACATGGACATTTCTGTTTGTTTATAACTAGGAATGGAGGAAGGTTCAAAGACTCTTAACTAGGTCACTCGAACTTTTCTCTACACCATGATGGCCATGTTACTTGATTACTTTGTTGGCTTCTAATCTTCTGTTTTCGAAAATTCTGCACAAAGCGAAAATATCCCTGCAAACACTGAGTAAAAAATAAAAAAATAAGAAAAAATCGAATGATCCCCTTTTTCAATGTCCAAATTTTCTTTAATCTTCCATTTGAAAAGGTAAAATTAACATGTACTACTAGTCTATTTGATTTTGGTTTGCTCATACAAAAGAATCCATCTAACGAGAAAAGGGTAAACAGTAACATTACACAATGAAATTGAATACCAGAAAAAGAAGAATGATATCATCACAACAAATAAAAGTGATGATCAATAAAACTCAACCATGATTGGACTCCTTACAGAGTGCCTGCCACTTTCAGAATTCCATATCAGGGCTCCTTGATGAAATCGGGGGCCGGAAGTTGTAGTACCGGACGAACGAGTAAATGTCACTCGATAAGTGAATTGCTGGTTTATCTGCAGGAAGAATGTAGTAGGCTCGACAACCATTTGAACTCCATTAGGTTGGATAACCTGAACATTATAGGTTTCGTCGAACCGCCCGACGTTTCTAACCGTTCTCGTCACTGTCTGAGTGGATGATTCCGGCGATGTTGTTGTCATCCTGATTGAAAAGGAAGGATAGTTGAGTTGTGCTTCTGGTATAGATCCCAAAGTTCCGCATCTGATCACCGGGGCCGAAACTGTTTTGCGAACCTGTTCATCTGTATAACCCAACCCGCAGAGATATTTTATGTAATCATCGGAACGGATATCGTAAATGAGTCCTGGATGATTAGCCGTGTTGCTCATGACATGCCCTGCACCAACGGCGAAAAAATCAGCCGGGTTCCGGGTTTGATCCTCAATCCGCTGATTCCCGATGTTTCTCGGGTTAGCAGTGGTCATCATTGCAGATTTAATAGCAGCAGGTGACCAATCTGGATGCGAGCTCTTGAGGAGCGCCGCGACGCCGCTAAGATGAGGACAAGCCATTGAAGTGCCGGACAGTATGTTGAAGTTGGCTGTTGTGCCGGAATTTCCTTCAATGGAGAAAGGCCAGGCTGCCAGGATGTTAACTCCGGGGCCGACTATATCAGGCTTTAATATGCCTGGACTTACTGGGCTAGGTCCTCTGCCAGAAAATGAAGCAACAGCCGGAGCGTGAGGATCCCGGTCGAAAACGGTCCCTTTAAAATTGATTTGGGCTGTTGGATTTGGTGCTGTGTTGACATAGTTTATGATCTTTTGCCCAGCTTCAAAGTTCACATGTGAGGCCGGGAGAAAATAATTGCGGACATCCATTGTGTAGTCCTCGGTTTGGTCATTCATGAGAATCATTCCGGCACCACCGGCATCATTTACCATTTTTCCTACGACGGAATTACCCGTAGTTCCCATCATGCACAGCACAATCTTACCCCCGATGTTGGAATTCGTCAATGAACGGCTCGAGTTGCAAAACGGAGCATCGGGATCATTCGGGTTCAGTTTTCTTAAGTAAACCAGGGGTAATTGCGTTGCAGGGGAATTCTTTGGCTGGTAAACTGACTCGCCGTAGAATCCCTGATTGTTTCCGAGGATAACATTGGCCCTGAGTTTCCTGTCCATGTTACTGGCTCCAACGGTGAGAACCCAAGGAGCCACATTATCAGTTATCGACCCGAAGCCAGGGCCACTATTTGCGGGTGCTGTGCTCACAAACACGCCGGTTTGAACAGCACTGAATGTACCAATTGCAATCGAATCTTCATGAAAGGGTCTGAGAGAATCATTACCAAGTGAAAGCGAGAGCACGTCAACACCATCAGCGATAGCCGCGTCGATTCCAGCGAGTATATCTCCGTCAAAGCAACTTTTTGCAGTGCAAACCTTGTACATGGCAAGATGGGCGCGAGGCGCGATTCCAGCAGCGGTGCCATTGGCGATTATGCCGAACACATTTGCCCCTGCGACAAAGTTCCCGGCTGCGATACCTGCTACATGAGTTCCATGGCCTTCTTGATCCAGGGGATCATTATCATCTGCTATAAATGTTTTAGCACCAATGAGCTTGTTATTGCACTGGATGACTTGACATCCTCCTTTCCACTTCGCGGGTGGAGCCGGCATCCCTTCATCCCCAAACGAGGGATGATCGGCTGCTATTCCTGAATCCAGGACTCCGATGATGATACCCTGTCCATAATTTGAGGACTGCCAGAATCCCTGATTTTGCTGTAAACCAAGGAACTTAGGGGAATAGGTGGTGCGCAAATGAAGGCTGCGTTCAGGCCAGGCTGATACAAATCCCTTCATTTTTTTCAATGCTTCCAGTTCCTCGTGCGTTAGCTGGACAACGAATCCAGGAAAAACGCGGTGGTAGAAGTGGCGAACTCGCAACTTATGATCGATTCCTGCTACCACCGCTGATAACAGTGAGGTTAGCCAGCTTTCTCTGCTTCCCCTGTCCCTGAGAATGTTGCGGTCAACTCCCTGATCACTCAGGCGAACAATATAGGTTTGCAAGTCCGGATTTTGTGCCAAAGAGAATTGGGAACCAAGCACAAAAACCAGGGATATTATCAACGAAATGGAAGCCATGATTGTTGGAAAGTTAATGCTGTTGTTGTGTGAGGAACTCCGTCTCCTGCATCCAGCAATTTATAGTGCATCATTCATCCAGAGTATTTTCAACAGTTTCCTTGATTTAAGCACACTACTGATCACGTACTGTACTAAATTAATTGATCACGTTGTTACTGAACGAAACTCCAATTTATCAGTGCTCTCATGGGATGATTCCATGAGCAGAGTTGTATGAATATTATTTTTTTTTAGCAAGAGAATGATACTTGAAGATATTGTGTGCGGGAGAGAAGCCAAATGGCTATTTTAAAAGATCAAAATAATTAAGGAAGATTTTAGACTTCCAAGAAAATTTCATTTGCCAAAGAATACTAGTATAACGTATATAACGGATGCACATAATGATTTTCGGATCTTGACAGATAAAGATGATAAAATGAGGATTGTGTTCATTTCTTCACTAATTGAGAAGAGAATTCAAACGTTGACTATTTTCATCCAGCGGTGAAGCTTATAAATAAATAATCACCACGCTTTTACTTTTAAAACTAGATTGGAATACCTGCACATGCGAAGAAGTTCCAAAAACAGTTGACCAATGATACTAGTTGACAGATATCAAAGATCCTTTTGCGCAAATTAGTATTAAACAAAAGAAAAAATTAAATTTCCCAGTGGCGAATTAGCCCTTTTATATTCTATAATCTAAGCTATGAACTTTGATTGTGTATCGTACCTTCCACCAATAACTTTTTCGACTTTTTCTTCGACTTCAACTAGGTTGAACCTTTACTTTGAAGCATGAAATGAAGTAAGAAAGGAAAAAGACCTCTCGTTTATATTTTTTAATCCAAGAAAGAGATAAGAGGGCCCTATGGAAAATGTGGTCAGAAATCTATAATAGAGTCCGACCACAACAACCGAATTAATTATCTTCATGCATAAGGATACTAAATTTACTAGTTGAAAATATTGAAAAATCATCACAAACCTCCCTTATTTCTTTTCTATTGCAATTTCTGAATTATTATATGATTATTTTTTAACTTTCCATATACATTTATAGAAAATAAATATATACTAGAAACGATATCTCTTATGTCAATGACACCAAAGGGATATTAAATGAATAGAATTGGGATATGGGTGGAATATAATGAAATAGAGTCAGTTTGAGGTTCTCTCTAAAATGAGGCATGGAACGAACTCTTAAATTTTGGAAAAGTATGAAAATGTTAACTACAAAATTACTAATCGATTTTAACGAATTTACGCTAGGCTCTTAATCCAAACTCGATGTATTGTTCATCTGTAATGCACATTTTAACTGTTATCATATATGCAACCATACTAAATTGAGGTTCGTATGTGTAACGATTACTTACCGTCGATTTACCTGATGCCTAACTTACCGTATATGCATACTTTTTTACTCTTTGACTCCTATAACAATTTCAATTGTGGTTTCGAACTGTGTCAAACCAATCAACTTGGAGATATTAAATTGGGCTGAACCAATAACTTGTTGTACTAATCGGTTGGACGGTGTTTAGATGGGCCAAATCGCATCAAATTCCTTAATACACATGTTTTTGACAAAGAGATTCTGTACTCTACAAAACACATTTACTACTATTATATATTATATATATAAAAATCATAAAATATACTTTTGATCCCTAAACTAAGGGAGGTCATAACTTTTGGTCATCATTAAGTTTTTGCTGAAAAAATTAGTCACATGCTTCTCGTTTATTCATCATTAGTGATCCACTTAACGAAAATTTTAAAAAATTAATGGTTTCTCCCTCACGCTATTAAACCCGTCAATTTTTTATTACTTTCTAATGAAGTGGACCCACCTTCAATTGACCACAAAAAAAGAGCTTTATAATCGCTACTAAAAAGTCTTAATGAATCAAGTTCTGAACTAATTAAGTATTTATAAATTACGTGCTTTTAATAACTAAAATTTCACTGTTTAAATTAATTAAGTGCATCTGAATGACCAGTTCAATTGTGAGTCAGAAAATAAGTGATAGGCCTAGCACTTATCACTTAACACTTAATTTCTGCAATGAATCTTTTTTTTTTCACTCGTCTTTATTTCGACCCTTATATTTACATTGTTTTAAAATTTTTATTTTCTTAAGATAAATTAATTAATAGTGCTTAAATTTGAATTTATATTATGAATATAAAAAATTCCGAACTTTCATACTCAAATTAATACATAAACTTTGCTAAATAATAAGGTATACATATATATATCGATATATGTAAATAATCTAAATGTAATTATATATTGATCATTTATCAAGTGTTATATCGACTTTCATTATATATACCAAAAACTTATTTTAAAATTATTATGGTATTATTTAGAAAAAAAATATTAGTTATTTTTCTATTTAAAAGAATTTTGTTTATAAGTTAATTTTAATGATATTAAAAATTTAAATAACTTTCATGAGTATTCAGATTTTTCAAACTTCAGAGTTCAGTTTTCACACATCAAATTCAGACGGTTTTATCAAACAATATAATTTCAGTCTTCAGACTTCAGACCTCAGTTGTTAAGTATTAAGTGTTTAGATTGAGACTTCAATGATTAACACTTTTAGTTTCCTTGTTCACATAATTTTCCCCCAACCAGCATAAACAAGTTCCCATATTCCCCCTAAGAACTAGATTACAATTTCTTGATTAATTCCATGATTCTAGAGTTGGTAAGCTACAGAGAGACTACAAATCAAACCAAACAGAGCCACCCTCGGGCAAAACCACCGTAGCTGGCGGAGTGGCTGTCGCTTGCGGCGGTGCCACCAAACTCCGATGTCCCTGCGGCTGTTGGTTAGATGGATCGAGTAAAAAAGCTGAGGTGTCAAGGGTAGGCAAGCACCCACTCTGGATCCGGTTAATCGGTCAAGGTGAGCTTGGCTTTATAGACATACCCGAAACTTCCATCCGCGACTATCAATTCCGGCGAGAAATTGGCGGTGGTCCGAACGAGTTCCTCTATGGAGACCTTGCTCAAAGCCGGGTCAAAAGTGGCGCTTTTTCCGATTGTGATTGAATTAAGATCCAGGTCCTTCTTGGGATTATTACCCGGCACCGTCCTCGACCGGATTGCCCGAGTGGAGACGCTGCTGATTCAGAACACGCTGCCGTTTTGAAGCCGCTTTGCATATCATGAACACGCTGCTGCTTTGCATATCATGAATGGATTAAGATTCGGTGATGGAGAAAGGCTGATTTAATGGTGGTTGGCGGCGGCGTTTTTGACGGAGAGGAAAAAAAAAGAAAAAAAAGAATTGAAAAAAGAAAAGAAGTTTTTCTTGTTGGTCAAATGTAGTGGGTCCCGCGGCCAGAATAAAATTAATAGAAAAATAGAGAGTTATCCGAATAAGGGAGTTGACCGTTAATTTTTGAAAATTCAATTAAATAGATCAAAGTTGATGAATAAACGAAAAACATGTGACTAATTTTATTAGTAAAAACTTAATGGTGATCAACAATTGTAATCCCCTTAATTCAAGGACCAAAAGTGCGTTTTGTCTTTATAAAAATAAAAATTCAATCTCGACATTTATTTCCGAACAAAAAAGAGTAATATTTTATGTGTTATATGCAGGTTTAAAAGAGCTTAGTTATATTATACTTTTATCATATTTGGCTACAAATGATTCTCTCTTCTCAATTGAAAACTTATCTCTTTTACCCTATTAAAGTAGAAGACATGAAGCTTATGTGGCAATTACGTATGCATCTGTTTTGGCTCCAATGCACCATATTTCAGATTTCGGGAGTCTTTTTGCCACGTGTAAGTCTCTTTTAATTAAAAGTTATATAATTCTTTTTTTTTAAAAAAAACACATGTTTTAGATGTGACATTTATCCAATGAAAAAATTCTACAAATAAGAATCAGTTACATTTCAAACGAATGGATATATTAATTCAAATTCAAATGTCCAATCGTACAGTTTTGCAGGCTTAATATAAACAAAAAATAAGAAAACTTAAATCCAGTAATTAAAAATAATACATTATAAACTAATTATTTATTATTCCCTTATAACCTCAAATTTATAGGTATATTTTTTTAAGCCCCAAACCATAGCATAAATGATATATACGCCAAATTAATTCCTCAAAAAATAGTAATTCAATTAGATTTTAATAAACTAGTAATTTAGAAGGGGCGCCCGGGCATCTGCCTGGGCCAAACATCTAGTTATTTTACTAAGAGAGAAACTAGAGTGAGAAAACAAAAACATATTTTTAGAGTGCCAAGTAAACAAAAATCCTACGTGGCACTTTTATAGAAAATGCCAAAAAAAAAAGTTAATGCAATTACATTACAAGTCCTTGGAATTTTATATAAATAAAATTTTTTCACACTTAATGGACGGACGGTTAAAAATTGTTTAAAACCATTAACAATCAACATTAATAAGTAATCCTAATTTTTTAAAAACAAATCAATCATCATTAATTAATAATATATTATATGCTTGCCCCGGGCATTTATAAATCCATTAAATAAAAAATAAATAAATCATTGAAAAAATAATACATTTCATTTTACATATAATAATAATAGTATCAAATCGAGACACAGTACGGGGCCAAAAAAAAGAATACATTTTATTTTACATGTATAATAACAATGTTAAATGAGAACACACTACGGGCACATACCGTTACCCTTTAACACGATCTAAGTATGAATGTGTAGAGTTTAGGATTTAGAGTAGTATCTAAATTAGAATCATGTAATATCTTATGGTTGTACCATTACAAACAATTCCTTCCCAGTTGCTGGCAAAGGATCAAAATCCTTCCAATTTGATTTCAAATTGCTCCAGCTACATTGCGGTATTTGTAAAACCAAGCCTGCATTACCATGTAAACGTTGAGCCCATAGATAAAATGTAATACTCTGCAAGCCATTCTACTCAACCTAATAATTAAAATAACACAATAATTAAAAACACATCTTAGGTAAAACCTAGGATAAAATCAAAATGCCTTATGATAAGAAGGGGATATAGTGCATCTTATAAAGGGATATAGTGCATCTTGAAACATGAATTTACCTTATTATTTTTTTCCCGTCGTCTTCGCACACACATGTTAGCATCAAGAAAAAATTAAATGTATCCCTTCCAACATTCTATGAAATTGAATAATACCAGTTTAAGTTGAGGGTGGAAGGCATTATCTTGTTCTGCATTCTATTAAATACGACATTGAGGCTGAGTCTACAGCTTAAAACAAAGTTGAGATTGTGCAATGCTGTTGATGAAGAAAACACACACGACCTCTTTCGACGTCCAGTAGTCTTGCTAAATTAATTTTTTTTTATTCCAAAACATCAAACTTTATCATATCATAAAATTATGGTGAACCTGTTCTCTAGAGTTCATGTAATCACCCTCATCAAATGCCTTAAAACCAAAGATGTGAATAATCACATAAATTTCCATCCATTATAAAAGCAATTGATACAACAAATAAAAGAAGGAATAAGATTCTTACCATTAGACTTCGTCAATCAAATAGTTTCGCAGACGTCGACTTCTCGACTATATACCTTCACACTACAAGAAACGACTTTGTACCATTAATTGCAATTTTCTCAATTTTTGGAATTTAATTATGCAATGATTGAAAAAACACTCACTGTACCATTGTTCATTGCATTACCTATGTTCCTTTTGAACAATCAACAATGTGATTCTTGGAGCTCTGTAAAAAATAAAATGTCGAAATCAAATGGCACCAATAGAATGATAGAAATCAGATTCAGAAAACAAAATCCAGAAACATTCAAATTCATAACCAATCTAAATTCTTTGAATGATCAATATCACCATCAAAGAGGCAATCTTCTCGTATCAATACACATATTTTGGCGCAAAAATTAACCAGTTGTAGATAAGTACATAAATGTCTCATACAACAAACTCACATATTAGACTTTTCATTTTACTAAATACCTTAATTTTGCAATAGCAGAACATGGGTGCCCGAAAATCCTAACTTCAGACAAACTTCTTGACCAAAATTACAATTACGAGAATGTTCTATAGAATCAAATGATAATAAGACAATAAAGTTCAAAAATTCGATAATCTTAACGTGAATAAGTAGAGACTAACCGGCGAAGGCGGATGTAAATTGCGAGAAAGGCCCAAGGAGAGCACAGAGAGCTATAGAATCAACCGAGCCATCTTCCTCAATTCTCATCGGGGTTGTTATTCATCCACATCAAGCGTTCCTGCAACAAACAATTGATTGAAAATGATTTAAAACAAAAAATTATATCTTCTTCACAATCCATGTGACCAATAAGAACAGAATAATTTTCGTGATTCTTTCTATATGCACATATCCTAATAGAAGGAAAAATAATAATTAAAAAATAAAATAAAACCAAAATTACCATTAAGAAATCCTTTGCTTCAAAATCTTCTTTTGAAGGGAGTACTTGTTTCCACCACCACCGAATGGATTAAATCATCTGCCATCCATCCATTTAATCGATGTCTTCTAAAAATTCTTTGGTTGCTATTGAGATTCTGTGGAACAAATAACCGCAAATCAAAGCGACCGACTCCTCCAGATCTGACACTGTGGCTTACCTACTTCAACGGGATTTGTACTCCGATAAGGGAAGCGGCCGGAGGTTCCTTTGGCGTCAAAATTACCGAATTCCATGAAAGATAGAGAAACACACAACCATCGGTAGCGTCGATATAGGAAAGGCGTATGTGGCTGAAATTCAAACCGGCGAAGAAAAAAAAATTATTCCATAAAATATGACAATAATTGAATTTTTAGAGGAGAACTGCTGCTCCCAATTTCTTACCGGTGATAAAAAAAAATTACTAATAACTATTACCTTGTGAATTTAAATTCTACTTATGGTATCGTTTGATTTCTAGACACGCTCCTCCGGCTGCTATCGATTGATTTTTGCTATGTAACTTCTCTAGATCTGACTAAATTGCAGTTCTCCTTGCTATTCTTCCTTTGCTTATGCTCCCGCCGTCTTTTTTGGTTGTCCGATCGTGTCTATTGTTTCTATATGTCTGCCTCTTCTTTGACTACGTCGAAAGAATTGTGTCCATCGGTACTGTTGCTACTTCTTCGTTTGGCTGCTTCTTCGTCGAAATTATTGGTAGTAATATTGGTTTATGACACTGAAATATATTTGAATGATTTGTAGCTTGATCTATTCTTTTGTAGTACTCTATTAGTATACCTAATTTCCAGGAATTTGAAACTACTGCAAACGCATGATATTGTGGAGGAGTTGATAGGGAAAAGCTAAAATTATAATGCTAAAAATAAGGCGGGTTTAACCAAAAAAAAAAGCTAAAAATTAGGACATAAACTCGTGATTAAAAGTGTAGATGTATACGTATTTTTTTTAAACTGCCTACGGTTTTCCTTATTTTCCTAATTAGAAGTAAAGCTTTGGGTTACTTAAGACTTCATTATTTCTGAAATTTTAGAGTGCCAAGTGTCAGTTTTCATTTTGTACTAAAAAAGTATTTTTGCGGGAAAATGTTTAACGTGGAGCTGACACATGTCCTTCTTGTATGTTACTTTAATTAAGTACAATGGATGTCGTGGAGTGGAAATGGGCAAATTTTGATGAACTATATGGGGTTTCACAAGATTTCCGAAAATAATTTCGGGAATTAAATTTTTATCATCGAAAAAAAAACATAATCTCTAATTTTATTTAAAACAAATCAATCAACATTAAATAATAAGATACATCTTAAAGTGAAAATTACCATTTCATACAAAATTGTTGACGTTGTTGTATTGGTGAATTATGCTCTACGATTTAGATTATTTTTTAAAATGCATTTTATTTGTTTAAAAAAAAGAGAGAGAGAGAAACCTTAGTGTAATTATCAAGAAGTTTTTGAATTTTATACAAAACTCTAACCACAACTTCCAGATAAGATTAATTCTATTTTTTGGGTCTGAAAAATCATATCCCATGAATTAAGCACATTGATCTTATTATTACGATAATTGTGGAATTAAATTTTTTAAAATATCTTCAATCAAGATCAATATCTTAAAAATTTGAAAATAAAATCTACCCCCTTATATGTCCTTCTCTCCTCATTCTCCTCGCCTATATGTCTTTCTCTCCTGTCATCTTTCTGTGTAGCTCTTTGTTTGTTTTGTTTTGCCTTTTCTCTCCATTTTTTTGCTACTACGAATTTGTTTGTATTTTGACTTTTTTTTTTCTCTTTTTTAATTTTGCAGGGAGCCATCATTCGTCAAAAGAATCCATGGAACAAGAATTTGTTAGTGCATGTTAAGTGCCCCAGATCTGAGTATGCTTTTTGATTATTTACAAAATAATCCGCCATTGTCCTATAAGGAAAAGTAGATGTATACATGCCACCCATTTTTTGGTAGCTATGAACATGCTAATGTTTTAGGAGTTTCATACGTTGCCTTAGAAGGGGAAAACAAAGTTACTCTTCAACGTTTAATAGGGAGTAAGCTAATCGCATCGATCTACCTTCAGTGATGTATTGAAAAAACCTGCGCAGATTGAATTTTTATTAGGTATCACCCATAACACACATTTTTATTTTATAAATATGATTGTACCAATAACTACTTGATTTATACAGATTAATAGGTGAAATAATCGGGTTGCAAGTATTGAAGTACCTGCAAAGAAAAACCCACAATCTCAACTTAAAGGTAGAATACTTTTATTAAAACCCGTCAATAATATTTTCTTTTAAATTTTCTATAATATACTTTTATCACACTTATTTATTATAGTGTCATCTGTAATAAAATTTTGTGTATAATTTTTTCATGCACACTAAAAAAAATACAATGAAATTGTGTAAGAATCCTCCAACTTCATTTCATAGTATAAAATTAATATATCCATTATCCAATATGGTATATGACATCCAAAAGATGTATACACATTAAAAAAAAAGATACAAAATAATAAGCAAAACCATCAATTTATAGCTAGCACATCGCAACGCCATTTTAACAATTTTCAATAACCGGGTTTATGTTATGCATAAAATTTTTCTAACTTCTCAATTAACTTTTCCCAACTTCTATAAATTACTCAATTATCTCATACAAAGTTTTAAAAAGATTAATCTATCAATTTTTAAATACAAAATAAAACCAAACAAAAAAAAGCTTCCAGTACACTTTTTTTTCTTTTGAAAGATCGATCTCTTAATTTACTTATATGAATTTGGATATGATCATGTATATTTACTTTCTAAATAAATTCGTTAAATCGAAATTAAACCAAGAGCTTGAACAGGTTTTGACCAAAGTTCTCAATTTGTTCACTATATTTGGTAGAAAAGTCTTTTTGATCCATTACTGTTGATAAAGAAAACTAATTTATACGAAAATTGATGGAAGAAATGTGACGAGTATAAATCTTCAATTGATGTGACTAATATATAATCTTGATGATTTTTTCAATTATTTTTCAATTGATTTTAAATTGTTACTAAAGAATAAGAAATTAAAAATTTTTTTTAAGGGATATATGTAGCTGATGTTAAATCAAGATTGAGATTCTATGATAGTTCCAAAAGTTACAATAATTTCTTTTAAAATTTTCATTCGAGATTGCCACAGCTCAGCATCCTACTCTCCCTCCATTTCATACAAAAATTTCCGGTTTTGTTGCAGAAAGGTAAAACAATAAGGATTGATCATTAAATTGATACAAAGGAATTATCTTACATAATTTTCTTCTTCTGATAAGAATACTCACCCCATTTCTTAGGTGACTTTTTGCATATACTGTTCTTATACCTATTAATTAAACTATGTGGTCACTTATACAAAAAATATATAAAATAGTTTAATAATAAATATATTTTAGTTAAATCAATAGTAAATTACTAAATCTTTGCGGTTTGTTTTTTTTTTTTTTTTTGAAGAAAAACAGACTTTCATTTAGATTATTGGAATTGGTCCAGCACCAATTGAGATACAAAACTTGGTGGACTAGTCTACAAGGTTTCAATTACATCAGAATGTTTTGCAAATTTGTTAAAGGAGTGGGCAATTACATTTTCCTGGCGTGGAATCCATCCAAGGTTTCGGACAGGCAAATCATGGCAGATCCATTTTATATCTTCAAGAATCGGCTGATAGGAAGATAGTCCATCAATTTCTCCATTAGTTGCAATGATAATGACTTGAGAATCACCCAAAATACTGACATCTGAAAGACCGATCTTCCTGCATAACAGCAAAGCCTCCCTCAGAGTAAGTGTTTCTGCTAATTCTGAGTCACGTACATCAGGAAAGTGTCGTGCCAAGCCATGTAGAAAATGACCCTCTGAAGATGTGATAAAGACACCAACACCTGCACATTGCTTTGATTGAGAGACAGCACCATCGAAATAAACCCTGATCGCATTTCCAACAGGCCTGAATACAGATGGTAATACTGATAAAGATGCTGCATTCCTTTCTGGATGGAGGGCGGATGAAATGAAATCATGAACAACCCTGCTGGCCTGCAGCACTGTCCCCCACGTACTTGTTTTCATCTGCTCAAAAAGTGCTAAGTTCCTTGCTTGCCAGATTCCGGCTAAGATGGCAAAACAGAACTCGCGATCCGAAGCAGGAAGATTAAGTAATAAAGCTCTGGCCCATAGTTCACAATCTGTACGCTGATGAAGCTTCACTTTGTCAAACAGACCTGAAATTCGAAAAGTTTGAACTGCAAAGGGATTGTCAAAGAAAATGTGACAGTTGTGATTGTCACTTTGGTTACATAAGCTGCAGGTACCATCCGGGAACATTTGACAACGTCTGAGGTTGTCTGGGGTGGGTAATTTATTGCTGCACAGCCTCCAGGCGAACAATAGCAAATGTTGTGGAAGCTTCATAAGCCAGAGATTGCTCCATACCAAATCACGGACTCCTAATGGTAGCATTTCTGATTCTGAGCCATTCAAACAGAAGCGTGGATGATTCAAAATCTGGTAGTATGCTGATCGAACAGTGTGCTTACCATTTTTGGTGTAGTTCCATATCCATCTATCTGATGATCGTGTATGAGGAATAGCTATGGATAAGATGGATTCAGCTTCTGTTTGCGGGAAAATATGGCGGATCAAATCTCTGTTCCAGTCCGTACCATCTGCACTAAAGAGATCAGAAACAAGAACCAAATGATCCATTCCTGATTGAGAAACTGAGGGATGAAAAGTTGGCTCTAAGGACAGCCATTTGTCACACCAAATGTTGGTTTGACGTCCGCTTCTGATTTGTTTCCTGCAGCCTAAATCCAGAATTTGACGGCCTTCAAGAATGCTCCTCTAAGTCCAGGATGGTCTCGAACCTAAGGAAGCATCAAACAGACTCTGTTGAGGGTAGTATTTCGCCTTCAAAACCCTTGCTAAGAGAGATTGAGGGTCCGTTAGTAACCGCCATGCTTGTTTACTGAGCATTGCTAAGTTGAACCCTTTTAAATCCCGGAAACCAAGAGCACCATCCTTCTTACTTTTCGACAATTTCTTCCAGGAGCTCCAATGGACTTTCCTTTGGCTGCTTGCATCGCCCAAGAAATAGTTGCTGCACAGTGACTGAATATCATGAAGAGTAGAGTCCGTCAGTAAACATATGATGGTATTGCTTGTCGAACAGCCTTGATGAGTACTTCCTTTCCAGCTCGAGATAAAGTTCTGGCACCCCATCCTTGTATTTTGCTCCATATCCGATCCTTGATGTTGGTGAAGATCTCCTGCTTGTTTCTGCCTACAACCGAAGGCAACCCAAGGTACTTTCCGTGACTTTCAACTTCAAGTATGCCGAAAGTGTTACAAATAGACAATCTGTCTTGTAATGAGACATTAGGGCTGAATAAGATGCCAGATTTGTCTAAGTTTATTTGTTGGCCAGAAACTCTTTAGTAGAGTTTGATTGCCCAATTCAAATATCTAGCTTCCTCCTCCAATACTGTACCAAACAATAAAGTGTCGTCTGCAATAAAAACAAATGAGATACCAAAGGTGCCTGACGAGTAACTCTAATGCCATGAATACGACCACATCTTTGTAAGTCTTGAAGCAAACACGAAAAAACCTCTGAACAAATTATGAAAAGATAAGGTGACAGTGGGTCGCCTTGTCTAATACCTCTTTCCGGAATTAAATCACCAAATTGTTGACTATTCAATATAAAGGAGAAACGAGCTGATGAAATACATTCAGAAATCAACTAACAAACTTTTCTCCGAATCCTAGAGCATATAAGATAGATTTAAGGAAATTCCATTCAACTCTATCAAAAGCTTTGCTCATGTCAAGCTTTATATACATTAAACCTTTTTTGCCCTTAGTGAGAGATTTCATATGGTGATGGGTTTCATAAGCAATAAAAATGTTGTCAGTTATAATACGACCCAGAACAAAAGCAGACTGGGAATCAGAGATAATAGAAGGAAGGATGGTACGCAATCTATTAGAGATAATTTTTGAACACAATTTATAAACAACATTACAAAGGGATATTGGGCGGAATTGAGAAATGAATTATGGTTGGTGAACTTTAGGTATTAACACAATATTTGTAAAATTCATTTTACGATAAAAAATTCCAGAATTTAAAAAGTTAAGGACAAAAGAGGTAATATCAACACCAACTATATTCCAAAACTTTTTAAAACAAACGGGACTCATACCATCTGGTCCAGGGGATTTGAAGGATGACATTTCTTTTAGGGCTTTTATTACCTCATCCGCCGTGTAAGCTCGCATTAAGTAATCATTCATATCCATCGTCACTTTTGGGATTAAGCGACTAAGTGCCTCTTGAATTTCATATTCTAAAGGGGCAGATGAAGTGAAAAGGCTCCCATAGTAATCCATTATGATCTTCTCCAAATCACTAATACTATCCCTCATTACTCCAGAATTATCCCGCAAACGAGCAATATGGTTAATAGCTTTCCTTTTTCTTGCATAAGCACGAAAGAACTTGGAGTTACGACCTCCTTCCCGATACCAATGTTGCTTGGCTCGTTGCTTCCATTTTAAGTTTTCACGCTCCAACAATAGATCAAGTTCTCTTTTGAGATCAACGAGATTTAATCGTCTCGAATCATCAATCTGACCATGTTGAATGGACAGAATCTCCTTTTTCAACACTTCTATTCTTTTCTGAAAATCAGATTGATGATGTTTGCTCCAATTCATCAGTCCTATATGCACATTCTCTAATTTAGCACCCAAATAAGTAAGATCATTGCACCAATTGTCCTCTATCACCTTTGTACAGTCATCCATTTTAATCCAATGTGCCTCAAACCGAAAAGACTTTCGACGCATCTTTCTGGATTAGTAAAATTGCCAGCCCGAAGTTGAATGTGTAGCATCATGTGATTAGAACAATAAGAAGGAACATGCACAACTTTGCTCCAAGGAAACAGCTCGTACAAACCCTGGTTGCATGTTGCGCGATCAAGACGAGCCCTTTGGATGCGAGGATGTTGAAGAAGCCGCTGCCAAGTGTAACGGTACCCTTCGAACCCCATGTCTATTAATTGTAAACTGTCAAACAAGTTCCTGAGGGCTGATATCTGCCAAGTAGGTCTTGAGCAACAACCGGAAAACTCTTCATGTGACAAAACCTCATTGAAGTCACCAAAAAACACCCATGGTTTCCTTGAAGTATCATACATAGAATTGTACAAGTCCCAAGCTTCTCTGCGGAGTGAAACATTTGGCTCACCGTATATACCCGTGGCCCTAATTGATTCCCCAAGTAGTTCTACATCAATATCAATGAAACGTTCCGAGAAAGAACGTAAACTAACATTAACATCTTTCCTCCATAACATGGCTAATCCTCCAGAATTACCGTGAGCTGCTACACCAACACCAAATATCCCAAGCTTATCCTTCAAACGATCAAACTGTCTCTGAGTACTCTTAGTCTCACACAAGAAATAAGATGGGGGGATTTATTCCGGACAACATCATCTAGTTCAATGAATTTCTGAGGACTCCCCATTCCTCGACAATTCCAACTTATAATACTCATTGGGCTGGGCGGGCTGGCATGATGAACCAGACTCCGCCATACCGCCATCCATAAGTTGTTTTTCAGGAGAAGAAATTGATGAAACAGAAGCTTCGTATCGGGTCTTCTTACTAAGAACTTCAACTTCCACAGGTTGCAAACAAATTCAACATAATCATCATATATTAGTTTCTGTTTCACTCGTTTTGGAGATTCTGTCTTCTCCGTGAAATCACGAAGAACTTTCTTTCTTGCCATGGTGAAACGTCGTGCTGCCTTACGGGCTGGTGTGTCAAGCATCATAGGAACTGGAACAAGGAAAGGACTAAGGAGGGTTGTGTGCAGTTTAGAAGTGGTGGTTGTTGTTGGTTGGGTTTTAGGGGTGGATGCACAATCCAAATTATGCATGGGAGGATCAGTGAAAATAGGATCAGGAGAGGAAGAAAGTATGTGGTAGGTTCGATCAGGAACTGAATTTGACGATGAAGGCCCTATAATATTGAAAATTGGTGGTGAGGCGGAGGGAGAGGACGAAAAATTTACTGGAACAAGATCATCATGAAGGTTCACCGAAGGGAGTATCTTCTCCTTACCTTTTGATTTCTGTTTGGCTAAGAGGGGAGTTTCAGAAGGATCAAGGTTGGGATTACGGCTCGAAGGTATCAGGGGAGTGGATGTTTGTGGGTTGGAATCCAGAATTGTTATGGACGTGGAGGGTGGCATATCTGACTCAGGATCAATGGTTAAGTTGGGATTAACATAGAGGGAACTTGTGGGGCTAGGTCGAGGTGGTAGATCAACAGAAAGGTAAGGGAGATTGGAGAGTGATGGATCAAAAGGGGAGTGAATTCTATGTCTGGATCTATGAGGGTTAGGGTTTGGATTGGCTGCTGCTCGATTTGGGGGTACTGTAACTCGGTGAGACTGGCTTTCACTCCATGGAGCCACTTCTTCGTCAGAATCATCAAGACCAAAGAACGGATCTGGTTCGTTTGCTGGTCGTTTTGAAACGAAAGGGTTCTAGTAACCTTTCGCTTGAAGCCATGGACCATTATACAGATGAATCCACCAAGGACACAAGTCAAAATCAGCGTTGAGATCATAAGATGGTTGTAAGACAAGAGGATACTTCCTACCTAGTAACCACGGTTCACCATGCATAACCCTAGCCCAATCTATACGATCGTTGAATTTAAAATGAACCAAATTTTCCCCAACTGGCCTTACCGCAAATCCTCGCCGCAAAGACCATATATTCCTACAATGAGTGGTGATGGAATCATGTGTAACCACCCTTGGACAGTGGAGTTTCCCAATGATGGTGAGGAAAGGATCTATGTGAGTAGTAGTCAAGGAACTAGTGGAATGCCTGGTTGCTTCCCCTTCCCTTAGAGACAATCTCCCAATAATACTCGACAATTCCTCCTCCGTTGCCATAGTTGGAATAGACACGATCACAAATCAACCGCAAGTGAATGGTGGATATGAAAAACCGTTAACACGAGTAACACCGCACGAATAAGATCTGTAAAAAAAAAAATGAAAGACAAAAATTATTATGAAAATTAGTTTTAAAAAATGCAGTGAATTATGAGTAAAAAACACGACTAGGGAGAAGGAAGAAGGATGATCATGATAAAAGAACATGGATCTTGAAGATAAGGTAACTGCCTAAAGAAAATCGTGGTTGATGAGAAAAGAGAGATTCGTGACGAAGAATCTTGAAGGCTGGTAGGAATGATTGACTAGTTTGAAAATCAAAGGAGATATAGATCGGGAAATAAGGAATCTGTAGATCAAATTACTAGAATATTCAATCCATGGAAGTAAATTCCATGAAGGACTCTAAGGAAACGGGCACTCAGAGCAAAACTCCCAGGGAGAACCGCTCTAGGACTGGGTTCTGGAATTGATTTACTAAATCTTTGCGGTTTGTATTATGTATACTTATGATTATTGTATTAGTATTTTATTTTTTTCTGTGTAGTCATAAAATTTTCCCATTTTGTATCACATAAAATATGTTCATTATGATTATTGTGTTAGTGTTTTATTTTTTTTTGTGTAGTCATAAAATTTTTCCATTTTGTATGACATACAATATGTTCGTTTTTTATGTTAGCGATTTTGTTTTTAGTTGTATAATGTTTATACTCATCGTTTTATTACAATATTTTCTTCGTACAATCTATAAAATACTGCCATTTATAATAGATGCAGTATTTTTACCTATAACGACGACATAATTTACTTTTACTCATATAATATTTACTATTTCAAACCAGTCACTTTATTTATAATTTTGTCACATTTAAAATTTTGAAATGGTTTTTTATAAATGTACAGGAATAAACCCAGCACATCATGCGGGTTTAACATCTAATATAAATAATGACAAAATAAGGTGAAACTTGGTACCAACGTCTTACTTGTAATATTTTGAATTGCAGTTGTTCTTTTTTCCCCCTTTATAGATTTTGTAATTCCATTGATAAATTTGATCCTAGTCACTTTTCAATTTATATTGTCAATGGTCATTTTCACCTTTTCATTTTCAAATACTAAATACCCTCAAATTCAATCAATTTTTTTTTTTTTTTTTTTTTGTGAAATGGAAGTTGACATTTGTGGTTGTGGATTTAGTTTCACTTTCAACAACGAAGATATACAAAGTTGAATACATTGTACTAGGTCCGTCTTCCAATATATATATATATATATATATATATATATATATTTCAAGCTCACCTTTATAGTAGTGGCTACTGGCTAGATTAATGTTATTATAGACAAGTTGAACAATTGTTGTAATCCCATGGAAGTATCGACTAAATAGTCCACTAAATAACTTTTCCATATGGATGGTTCTTGTACTCCAACGTTCCGACGAGTTACTAAATTATTTCGTGAATAAAAATTTAACAATTATAAAATTGTTATACAATTTGGAGAGCTGCGTTCTATTTTGCTTCCTTCGATAAAAGAAGTAGAAGTATATTTAAGATAAGAGTTAGTATTACAGTAGAAGAAGGTTAGGAGTAATTCGGTAAATTAAACACCATAATCAATAGATTCTTAAACTATGCTTAAATCTCTCAGCAATTTATATTTCAGAATGGAGTGAGTACCAAGAAAACAAAAAAAACTAATGAATTAATTAATTAATTAATTAATGGTGGAGGAGACCAAGATTCTCCCCAAAAATTGTAATCAAATACGGAAAAGTCATAATTAATCGCCGTGCAGTACGCGCCAAGTACTGAAAATTTCCAAAATGACCCTTCCAAAGTGGCATAATACTAATAGGAGAAGAAAAACCTTGGGATTCCAGCGGGCCTATTTAAATTGTCGTCAAAAGAAAAACTCACAAATTTTTAAAAGCTAGAAAAATCCGGCGGCGGTAGCTTCACTGTTCGAGCGCGTTTGTTGTCTGCTTCCCTCTCGACCTGAATTATCTTTGCCGCTTAAGGTTAGAAGCTTGTTCCTTCTATTCAATTCTATGCTAAACTTTTGATTTCGTTTATCTGTGAAGTGTCTGATTACAGTCTGCCTGTTTGTTTCAATTGTATGATGTTCCTTTTCCTTTTTGTTCGGTATTTTCTTTTAATTGTTTCGATTATTAAGTATCTGTTCTTGGTTCGTGGTTTTGAGTTTTGGTGGTTTTAGAAGTAGTTTTATGATGAAGCAGATGTTTTTCGTGCGCATGAATTTCGTTTTTTCTTTTAAAAAAAAATTAGGAACTTAAAAGTTATAGATCACGGAAGTTTGAAATAAGTATTTGATTCATCAGTCGATCGGAGTCAATCTGTGTTGATTTATTGATGTTTATTGGTGTTTTATATGTTACCACTTTTATGAAGCTTTTGAACTCATTGGTTAATTTGGTTCGACAAAGGTTGGATTTCCATGGCGCCCTTTTTATGAATAGCTTGAAATCAATTGATCGTGTTTGGTTAAGGATAAATATTTATGCCCTTGGTTTCACTCTGCAACAGAAGGATTTCACCATAATGATCACAGGCTGGACATAATGATAATTTGTTATATGGTTCATTAAATATGGTTGATTTGGGTTCTCAATGGTGGACAATATTTTTGTCTTTGTTGTGAATTGAAGACTTTTTGGATTTGTCAATTTTCATGTGCTTAAAGGTTGATTGATCTTGAACTAACCATCATATTAACATCTTTCGCTCCTGATTTTCAGGTTATCAATCAAGGATGGGTAAGGAAAAGGTTCACATTAACATTGTTGTGATTGGTCATGTCGACTCGGGGAAGTCCACCACCACTGGTCACTTGATCTACAAGCTTGGTGGTATCGACAAGCGTGTGATTGAGAGATTCGAGAAGGAGGCTGCTGAGATGAACAAGAGGTCATTCAAGTATGCTTGGGTGCTTGATAAGCTCAAGGCTGAGCGTGAGCGTGGTATCACCATTGATATTGCCTTGTGGAAGTTTGAGACTACCAAGTATTACTGCACTGTCATTGACGCCCCTGGACATCGTGACTTTATCAAGAACATGATTACTGGTACCTCTCAGGCTGACTGTGCTGTTCTTATTATCGATTCCACCACTGGTGGTTTTGAGGCTGGTATTTCCAAGGATGGTCAGACTCGTGAGCATGCTTTGCTTGCTTTCACTCTTGGTGTCAGACAAATGATTTGCTGCTGTAACAAGGTGATTCTCTTTGAATGGGAATGGGATTTCATGAATATCATTACTGATTTTAGTATATCCTGTTTTTTATATCTCTGACTTGTTTTCTTTTAATTAGATGGATGCCACCACCCCCAAGTACTCCAAGGCACGTTATGATGAAATTGTGAAGGAAGTCTCATCCTACCTGAAGAAGGTTGGATACAACCCTGACAAGATCAACTTTGTTCCCATCTCTGGTTTTGAGGGTGACAACATGATTGAGAGGTCTACAAACCTTGATTGGTACAAGGGTCCAACTCTCCTTGAGGCCCTAGACATGGTCCAGGAGCCCAAGAGGCCTTCTGATAAGCCACTCCGACTTCCACTTCAGGACGTGTACAAGATTGGTGGCATTGGAACGGTCCCTGTTGGTCGTGTTGAAACTGGTATTCTTAAGCCCGGTATGGTTGTGACCTTTGCTCCTACTGGTCTGACAACTGAAGTTAAGTCGGTTGAGATGCACCATGAAGCACTCCAGGAGGCACTTCCTGGTGACAATGTCGGGTTCAACGTGAAGAACGTTGCTGTTAAGGATCTCAAGCGTGGTTACGTTGCATCCAACTCCAAGGATGATCCAGCCAAGGGAGCCGATTCCTTTACTGCCCAAGTCATCATCATGAACCACCCTGGTCAGATTGGCAATGGATACGCCCCTGTTCTTGACTGCCACACCTCTCACATTGCTGTTAAGTTTTCTGAGATCTTGACTAAGATTGACAGGCGTTCTGGCAAGGAGCTTGAGAAGGAGCCCAAGTTCTTGAAGAATGGTGATGCTGGTTTCGTGAAGATGATTCCCACCAAGCCCATGGTGGTGGAGACTTTCTCCGAGTACCCACCTCTTGGCCGTTTTGCTGTCAGGGACATGCGTCAGACTGTTGCTGTTGGTGTGATCAAAGCTGTTGAAAAGAAGGATCCAACTGGAGCCAAAGTCACCAAGGCCGCTGTCAAGAAAGGTGCCAAATGAACCGTGCAGCATCAAGCGGCCCTTTCTCTAAAACAAACCTACTACTACAATAAAATGTCTAGTAACTTCACTTTATTTTGCTCTATTGCTGCATATGCATCTGCAGTAGTTTTGTGTGTGCTTTGTTTTGTATGTCGTAGTTTTCTGCCGTGTATGTTGAGTAGCCTCTCCCAGAACTGGGTGCTTGACAGGCGGTGGCGAATGCTACTAGATTATGTGTGGTTTTGAATTGTTTCTTTAAGCTGCTTCTATTGATTGTTGGACAAAATGCCCTTTTTGTTGTGTTTTCGATATGTTCTTTTTCTTCAAATGGAAATTAATTAAGTGTGATATGTGCTTTTTCTTCAAACGAAAATTAATTTAAGTGTGACATGTGCTTGCTAAGGACATAAAGTATTGGCAGAGATCACAATACTTCTAAAAGCTGAACACCGATAAATTGAGTCAATGGAGAAAGTTGATAGTTTAGAACTCGACGTTCATCATCATTGCTGAAAAGATTGTTCTTAGACCCAACAGATTAATAGTACTGAAAAGTCCTGCTCAGCTGCTGGTTCTAAAACATCCTCAAGATTAATTGAAGATTGATTCAAGTGATGGCTGATTAAACGCTCATGAATTGCTCTAATTCAGCTCGATTCACATAACAGCCTAACTGAAATGAAAGCATCAAATGGGAAAACAATTGTCCTGCAATGTATTCATGTGCAATCTATATTTTTCTTTAAAAAAAAAATAAAATATATAGGAGAAAGTAGAAACTACTAGAATTTTTAGACTACCCTAACGACGTTGAAGTAGGAGAAGTATGGTGTTAGCACATTAGCACCAAAGATAAACAAGGCATTTTTAAGGGCAAACTATAAAAGACATTTCAACAAAGATGGCATTTTTAAGGTCCACGGCCATAGCTGCTGCTGCGACAATCCCAGCTGCCACTGTCGCCCTTCTCTCTTCTCAACGTTCGTCCTCATTTCCCCCTTCGGAATCATCACCTTCTCAATCTGCTACGAGACTTCTATCTCAATCTTTACCCTTTGGATCAATTTCTCTTTGCTCTAAAGATATTCCTGGACCAAACAGATTGGGTGTGGTGAAAAGTGTTGCTGGTTCTAAGATGGAAGCTCCTCCATCTAATCAAAATTCCTCCATTCCTCAGGTGCCCACATCAATATGGAATTTTCTTTAATCATAAATTTGAGTACCTGTAGTGAGATGTTTAGGTTCCTTTTTCTGATTTTGTGTGGTTGTTGTTGTTGTTTTTTTTTTTTTTTTTCAAATTTCGCAGAACGGAGCTGTATTACCGGAGCTTCTTGTAAGTCTGTTTCTATCTTTGATTCTGTTTTATCATTGGAGTAGTTCGGTAAACAGATTCTCTGTATTACTTATAAAAGTTGGGCTTGATGGGGCAACTGGGTGTGGATAAAGATCCCAACTTGTCAGGATTTTCGGCCTGGTGCACTTGATGTTGATTCTGAGAGTTTTAATTTTTTTATGATGGCAGACAGAGTATATGGTGGATATGTCTTGTGAGGGTTGTGTTAAAGCAGTAAAGAATAAATTGCAGACTGTTGAAGGTGGGTGCCTGAAAATTTTTTGCATCCGTTTCATAGTATATACAGTAGTTTCATTTAATTGTTCCTGAATGCTTTAGTTTTTGTTTCTAGGAATTAAGAATGTGGACGTGGACTTGGAAAATCAGGTCGTGAGGATACTTGGGAATACACCCGTAAAGACAATGACCGAAGCACTGGAGCAGACTGGTAGGAAAGCTCGACTGATTGGACAAGGGAGCCCCGATGGTTAGTTCTTGAAATCTTAGTGGTATCATGTTTCTGATTAGTTTCCTTTCTCCTTTCCATTTTGCTTTTTTTTCCTAGGTTGGTAGTTTTGGTATGTGATCTTTATTGTCAGTCTGAGGCTGTGGAAGTTGTCCTTTCATGATTTTTTGTTCATTTTCTTGTTTAGGATGTTTCAGTATCCTTACCCTTGGTAAGACTAGTAGATTCCTTTCACGATTTTACGTTCATTTTCTTGTTTTAATGCTTCAGTATCCTTACCCTTAGTAAGACTAGTAGATTTTATTTTTATATCTTGCAGCTGTATCCACGCACTAGGAAGGACTAATCGTCTTTGTTTTTCCTGCAGATTTCCTTGTTTCTGCTGCTGTAGCTGAATTCAAAGGCCCAGTAGTTTTTGGAGTGGTCCGTTTTGCTCAAGTAAGCATGGAACTGGCCAGGATTGAAGCCAACTTTAGTGGGGTGTCACCAGGAAAGCATGCATGGTCCATTAATGAATTTGGAGATTTGACAAGGGGTGCAGCTAGCACTGGGAAAATTTTCAACCCTACAAATGCCAGTGGAGAAGAGGTATCCTTAATTGTGCCAGTCTAATCTCAGTGTTTTACTGTGATAACTTCCTTCACTTTTGACATTGTAGTTTTGATTTGCTAATGTCAGGAAATTGCTGCCGGCTTTCTAAATGATTGGCTTGCTTTTGTTTGTTTCATACTTTCTAGCTACTACGTGTTTTGTATTTAGAGTGGTTCTTTAATTCAGTATTATTTGATAGATTTGCTTAGATAAGTGTTTTGCCAGGAGCATCTGTACTAGAACTGACGTGGAGTAAGTTGTTGCGAATTGTTATTACTAAAAGCCGATAATAAAATGGCAGACCAGTCTAATACATTTTTGCTGGTCACTGAAACCTGCAACTCTAATCTATGAAGAAAGAGTGAAATATTGGTCATGTCTTTCTTTTAAGGTTATTGATGACGAGTTAAGATTTCTAGGATTTGAGATTACCTATGCTGATGCTGGCCATACATTAAAGCAGTCTTGCCGATGCTATTCTTAACCACTGAGAACTTACTGGCATCCTAACAAGATGAACTGGAATGCCATTTAAATAGGAAGCTAGCTGCAACCATTTCATGCAGTTCATTGCTGTATATGTGGCCTTCTCTGAGTAAACTATCTTGTCAACAGCAGTCTGTTTTTGCTTGTCCCACTTTTTACTTTTGTCTTTTTCGATCTCTCTTTTACCGCCTTTCGACCATCTAAGTATGCGTCTTCATTTTGTGATATTCTTCAGTGCCTGGGAGACCTGGGAACACTAGAAGTTGATGAAAAAGGAAATTCTTTTTTTTCTGGAGCAAAGCCTTCCCTGCGGGTTGTCGATCTCATTGGGCGATCTATTGTGGTATATGAAACTGAAGATAAATCAGATGCTGGTCTTGCAGCTGCGGTGATAGCTAGAAGTGCTGGAGTCGGTGAGAACTACAAGAAGCTTTGCACCTGTGATGGTACAACTATTTGGGAAGCCACTAATGCAGACTTTGTGACCAGTAAAGTTTGATTGTATACCATAGATCTAAATCATAGAAAGATCAGCCGTGTCTGCATATCTTCTGCACATACCATGTATGTATTCTGTTGTACAACTTTCAATTTAGATTGCTTCTAAAGAAACACATTGGTTCTAAGAATAAAGTAATAACCTTACCGTCGGGTATAAAAGAAAAGAGAATTTGGACACCCCTGATTTGTGTTTAAAATAAAAGAATTGCTTCATTTTCTAATTTAATTGCAGCGATTTCTCGATTTTGAGCTTTCTTAGTCAAAGTTCCCTCAGCGGAGAGACTTGAATATACGAGAAGACTGATTTCCGATTGAGAAGAATGATAAAAAGCTTCACAAAGTCATGAATTCACAACCTCTTGCTCATACTATTGCATTGTGCTAGAGTATTTGTTTTTCTTTAATTACATTAGAACGTTGTCTCCCTTCAACTGGAATAGAAAGAAGAGCCTTGAGGCTTATTGTACATCACAATATGATTGGTTGACATCCCCGTGGAATGTGTATTTATTGAGCTAAGATTGAGTACAAATATAAAACGGATGAGAATTCATCTCCTCAAAGGTGGCAGCAGGCCTTCCTTCTGGGCCATTTCGTACAATGCGATGGCCATTAGTGCTTTTGCATCAGCAGTTCTGCGCCATAGCTCCTGATAGGGAACTACATGAACCTTAATGAACTCGCCATGTTCACGGAGACCAGTTTGTTTCCCTTGAAGCTGTGTGATGACCTCTTTATTCACATTTCCTCGGTACAGAAATAGACTGATTTCCTCGTCACAACCACCCTACAATCAGAAAATAAACAATTACTAGGCCATCTTGGAAATAAGAAAGGAAATCATGAAGCAGATATGAAACATTGTCGGAAGCAACAAAAAGCAAGTTTAAATGGGTCATCCAAAATGAGTTCCAGGAAATAGTAGTGGGGAAGGTAGAAGTACGGCACCACAAAGAATTATGTCACGAGAAAAGAACTAATCCTCTTAAGTAGGAGCCAACTTACTGGAGAGGGTATAACCCTGCGTCCTGTTGATGGATCCAGAAATGCTGTAAGATCAATCACTTCATCCAAACTTAGCTTAATGCCAGTCTCCTCCTCAACCTGCCACAAACTTATAGCCTTACATTACTTAGCAGACCAAGTACAACAACGGAGTTTCACTCCTCTATAACAGAAAAGGAGCAGATGATAATGAGAATGTTCAAGACCAAGATGCTCTCTTTCTCAAAAGTCACGGTGTGGGAAAGTTTTAACTTAGCACTCGTAAAAATTAGAAGAAGAGAGTGATAAGTTACCTCACGAACTGCTGTACCGAGAAAGTCACCTTTGTCATCATCCAACATTCCAGCTGGTAATTCCAAAATAAGCCTTCCCACAGGTACTCTGACCTACTCATTAACACCAATGGCATTAATAATTGTTGCTCAAATTTGTTTTTGATCTTTACTTCTAAGTTTTATCATTATTCACAAATTGCAATCAATAAAATTAAAGAACTGTTCTAAGAAGAAATTACCTGCTCAGTCAGCACGGCATAAGTCTCACCCTCCGAGTCTAAGAGAATGAGCACTGCAACAGCTGGTCCCCGAGCAAATACAATACCTGGAACCTAATGAAACTATAAATGCATATCAAACATACGAACAACAAGATGATAGTACTTATTTATGTACAAACTGCATCAAATAAGAATCAGAGCCCAAAAAAAGTCCATTTTTCAGTTGAAAGGGGTGCCGCAAGTATAGATCCAAGCAGATATTAGAATATACCTTCTGCCCAGTCTCTTTGTCAAAGATATCAGCTTTAAATTTAAGAAATCCAACCCGGTTGCCAAACATATCCACACCCTGCAAGAGACGACCAGAATGAATCCCATCCATAATATGGCACATAAAATTTGTCAAGCAGTGTACAAATTCCCTGTCAAGAGAGCTTACAAGGCATTAGATAAAACAGAAAACCAAGCAGTTTTGACTAGTGAGTCATCTCAACCAGAAGGACCAATATAAAGAGGGAGCACTAACAAGCCAACTAATCGTAAAGTCTCCCTACTATTCATGAATTGAGCCGTGTTACCAAAAGTTCAAGAAAAAAATGAGCCTTATCTTCATGGTACATGCCAAAACCCCAATTTTGAAAGTTTTTCAGGCAAAATTGTAAAAGTAAGACGTAGTGAAATGCAGTGTTAAAGATAAAACTGCAATTGACTACATCATCGATTAAAAGGTGAAATGTTTCACACTTATTCTTCTTTTATCGGTTTTAGCAGTATCATCTAATACAGAATTTGAGACACTCATCTCTCCATGATCAAGGAAGATCATGAAATACAACATTAACAGAATATAGGGGAGTGACAATTTGAGAAATGCCAGCTAAAGATTAAAGGTTAACTAATGCAGGATCCAACAGACAAACACGGAAGTCCCATCACGAATAGTCGAATTCCATTCTTAAAAAGAAATTTCAACCTGGATAAGTACTTGTTTCAGTAACATCTCCCCATTAGCCAGCATTCCCGTTTCAGTTTGTATGTTTTTCAACCACTGCTTGAACAAAGAACATTCAACAGCATTCCTGAAACAACAACCACCAAAACCACCATTACTAGTAAACTCAAGCTCTGAAATCCAAGTTGATCCCCTGTTTCTTTAACAATTTTTTCCAAAATATAATATCCAGCACCCACATTCATCGATTAACCGTACATTACAAGCACCGAAACAGAAATTTCAAGAAAGAAAGTCAATTTGACACAGGGTAAAATGCTAATAGCGATTTTTCATGAACACTGTTAATATATCAATAGATACTAAAAAGCTACGAGTTTGCAGAAGCATTCACTTAAAATCAGCCTCGGATACACCGGGATCGGCAACGACTTCGACCGGATGGTTGAGTTGACACGGGAGATTGATGGTGTGGCTGCTGCGAGAGCTAGAAGATAATCCGGTTGACATAGTAGTACTAGAATGAGACCGGGTAACGGCGGTTGTGCGTGTTTGTGCGTGAAGAAGAACAGAGGGAATTGTGAATTTTCTGAAGAAATGTTGTTTGGAGAAAGCAAGAGAGATCAATGGCGACCGGGAAGAAGACTGAATAGCTAAAAGCGGCATCGTTTTTGGAAATTTGTGCTGTTTCCGGCAACTTCTCTTGGTATTTATATGTTTCCCCCCTCTGTCCTTTCCTTCAGAATTTATTATTCAGGACCCTTTATATGGGCAAAATAGCTTTTTGATTCACTCCCAAATCGCAATGGTAATTACTTCCGGATTTTTTTTCTTAACAAAACTATCGCAATATATTTCCTCAATAGCTCTTGTGATAGTAGGTCTAATTAATCACACCCTATTCCTTAAAAAAAAAAAATAGAGAAGAATATACACCCGATATGATGATATATGTTGCTGGATATATTGAAATTTAAATATCACCCAAGATTAGTTGTAACAAATTGTCCACGTAAAAATTGATGTCCAAACCTTATTTCAAGTTATAGAATCATAATAACTATGGTATTTTCATGTATTTTTCTTCATGATAGCTTAAAACTACAAATTGCAAAAAATGGCTATATAGTCCTTCCGCATAAATGGCTAGTTCTTACAGGGCGACCTCCAAGAAGGCCAGTTCATCGTGGAAAATAACACCTAATTATGGAGTGGTTATGCAAATGAAAGCTATAGCATGTAAGTTGGTCTTCTCGGAGGCTTGGTCCTTGGGTCTAACTAAAGTGATAGCCCAAACAGCCTGCAGTATGCTGCAACATTTGACATCACCAGTGATAGTTTTTCCTTTACAAAAACAGGCTTTAGTCCAGGAAATCCAAAATTTAGTAGCAAAGTTTGAAGTTTGCCATATATGTAAGGTAGCTCGATCGGATGTAGAAGAGGTGCACACACCCTTGCAGTGCACCTCACTATGCTGTAATCATCTTGATATTAATAAAATGTATTCTCCTTTCAAAAAAAAAAAAAAAAAGATTTACAAACAACCTAGTTGATTGTGTCCAGCAACTTGCAATTGCAACCCCAGAAGCTTAGATACGAGCAACGTACACCAATGTAATATATGGGATGGATGTCCAATAAAATTCCACAATAGCATATACTAATTTTAATGTCCGCACTTTTGAACTCAATTACTCAAACTAGGTTTTTTTTTCTTAATTACGAGGAAAAGAATTGATCGGCAAAAGATTTCTTACACAATAATCTTACGCCACTTCCTACATCACTCAGCAAGATTTTGATACATGGGCCTGACAGGTTCATCTAGTGGTGGGCTGGGGTTTTAATAAATTTTAAAAAAAGAAAATAATGACTGAGATAAATGTTATATAGTGGTTTAGAAAGTGTTGTAAAATTGTTGTGATCCTTAGCCAAATTGATCGTACACAAAGAAATGCTTACCTTATGCATCTGCTCAAAATATCCCAGTATTATAACTAGTACAAAAGCAGGACAACTGACGAGTCATAAATTAACTCTAGACTTATTGGGCCTAGGATTAGAGTACTTGGAGATTAAGTCACCTCCTAAACCTATTCCGTTAGGGTTTCAGGAAACAGTTAACACCACCTCTATATAAAGAGGTGGTGCCTCTCCCATAATTTATATTTTCTACCTATCTTCTACACCTCCTACACATGATACACACAACTCTCCCTATTCTTTATTCCCTTATTGACTTAAGTATCGGAGAGTCTACCCTCGGGAGACCCCCGAGGCTCTGTCTTGCAGGTTTTAGGCCGTCTACCGCCTTCTAGATCATCGTCGCCGCCTGTCTTGAGCACCGTGCAGATTCCATGTTTCGTCAAATGGCACGCCCAGTGGGACCGATTTGTTTGGTCTTCACAACCAAATAAATTTCTTGAAATGAAGCTGAAATTTATTGGTGCTTTACGATGATCATCGGGTCGATTTGATGTGCAAATCCATATAAGCTCTCAAGTTCTTCGAAGCAAGGGGCAATTTCGAGGATTGAAGTTTCGAGAGATACATCTCCTCAAAGGGGCAAGCATACCTCGAGCACAATAATACTCCTCGAAGTGTTCGAGAAGATGTATCTCGACTTTTATCTACTCAACAACTACCTTCTCGGAATCGAGACCTGCTCGACAAGCAATAAAGGCTTCTCCCCTTCAAATAAGAGAAAAAAGGCTTCTCCCCTTCAAATAAGAGAAAATAGGCTTCTCCCCTTTAAATAAGAGAATCTAGGCGCTATCCTCCTAATTCGGCATAAACAGGCTTCCCCCTTCCAATAAGGAACTCACTAACACAAAGACCTCCTCTAGGCATTTTATTATCTTTATCTTATATAGGTGATACCCGAGAACGAAAGAGTTCGAGAACTGGGGCAACACCACGAAACTCGAGAAGACATCAACACTTGCAGCAACCTATATCCTTCTCATCAAGTCTCGAGAATATGGCTTGCTAAGGGCACTTGACGAGTCATAAATTAACCCTAGGCCTATTGGGCCTAGGATTAGATTACTTGGAGATTAAGCCACCGCCTAAACCTATTCTGTTAGGGTTTCAGGAAATGGGTAACACCACCTCTATATAAAGAGGTGGTGCCTCTCCCATAATTCATATTTTCTACCTATCTTCTACACCTCCTACACACAATACACACAACTCTCCCTATTCTTTATTCCCTTATTGACTTATGTATCGGAGAGTCTACCCTCGTGAGACCCCCGAGGCTCTGTCTTGCAGGTTTTAGGCCGTCTGCTGCCTCCTAGAGCACCGTCGCCGCCCGTCCTGAGCACCATGCAGATTCCATGCTTCGTCAACAACCATTTTGGAATCAAAAGTATCGTAAAATAATCAACCTAGTGTAGCTCGAAGAATTATTTCTACACAAAGAGCAGTTCCGCTTATGAAAGGGTAAGCAGATAATCATAAAAAAGCCCTGTTTATATATAGCTTTCCAAAGCTGAAGCTATGGCGTTGGCATGTCCCTTGGTGATCAGGAAAACATCAAACACGGGCTTGACGCAAGTTCATGTTCATAAGGAATGCTGTTTTTTGGGACGACTTCATTCCCAGAAAGCTAAAACCCCCGTTGGAAGCACAAGGAGTCGATGATAGAGGTAAGAGGACATTAAACAGACCAATCGAACTTTTTAGTGTTGTTATGTGAGTAGAGTTTAATGAGTTCATAGTTCGGCTTTCCAGTTTACTCTGATAGTATTACAGATGATATATTAATGAAAATTAAGAACACAAAACCTTTGCCTAATGCAAATACATAACAAAACAAACAACTACTGGTATTACTATTATTGTACAAAACAACATCAAGACACAAGAATGATGAAATTATTCACGGTGGTTCATCATGACAATGATATCCAAATGGGTGGACATATAGGGCTGATGGACTCAACATCACTAAATCTTTCAATACCCCCGTCTTCAAGGTTCTAAATTCCCATATCACGCCCACCTCCATCCCTATTCCAGTAAGATTCCTGGCAGTCATCCGTAAAATAGATACAGTTAGACTTGAGTACATTCGGAAATGCAGAAGCATCAACGGAGATAGCAGCACTGTGACCAACAAAGATAGCACCATTCCCCAAACTAGAGATTTTCTCCCACTCGCATTTTGTCACATCCAACCGAAAGACTTCGAAACGAGTAGCCCCATAGCTACCGTCTTTTTCAGCGCAATTGCCATCCCGCGTAACAACTAGTAATTCGCCGGCGCGGCTGGATGATTCCACTAAATACCCTTCATCCATAACCTCAAACAATTGAGGATGAGTAATGGTTAATACAACCTTCGCAACCTTATCATCATCATCACAAGTGGTCCAGATCCATACTCTTCCCATAAAATCAAAAGCATAAATCTTTCCATCGTAATATTGAACATCGGAGAACAACATCCCGGGTGATTTTGTGAGGGTCCACGTCGAGTCGTTAGGCCTCCAAATGCAGAGGAATCGGCCGGCACCCAAAAGTACGGTCAGAACAAAATCCGAGGTGCGAGATGGATTGGCTGACAGAATGGCTCTGGCCACAAACAAGAAGGCGGTAGCGCATTCGTAGTCTTCGTAATCCGGGATGGTTTTAAGGTTGGGAAGCTGGATTTGGGTACGCGACAAAGGGTTCAACAGACAAAGATCACCGAAATCGGCCACGGTCAAGAGCCAACCGAAATTCACGTCCATACAGAATTTACTCTTTCTTTTGTACAAGCTGTAAAATTCGCGTTCGTCACCACCGCCTTCATGTCCTTTATCGGAAAGTATAAGCAATGGAATCGTCCCGGAGGCCGATTTGAGAAGCTTATCTTTGGTGGTTAATGCGGCGGCGTTACGCCAGGAAGTACAAACTCCTATAAACGACATCAAGTCTTCCACAATCGGTATTCGGGCGGCTATCTCCTCCAACATCTCCTTCATAAGCGACGACCAATCTCTCGTGGGCTCCATTAACGGAAAGCAAAGCAAAGCAAAGGTAGGAACAGAACTATGGCTCGAAATCCCGCGATACAGGGTATCGTGAATATAAAGGTCTTTGGAGTCGACCAAACTATGCAACTAATATGAGTTCCCGGAATTTAATGATTCGCTAGGCAGTTATCCTGAAGGAGGATGGGTAACACTTTCAAGTTTCAAAGGCTACATTTTCTTTGATAAAACAAGTAATATTTCGTTGAACTACTCGAAGGCTTAATCGATCAACATTTATGTTTGTCTGCAGATACAATCACGGGATTGAAGATATTACTTACAAGATCAAGAACATCGAGGAAACCAGGGCTGGAGTGGGTTAGCTAGTTAGACTGAAGAAGAGCCACATTGAGTGGAGGGACTATGATGTAAGTCTCAATCCCTACTGTTGAAATTGATACCTTCACTTTCAAACCGTTCAATGTGCAATCCCTTCTCTTCACAAAATTGAGCTTCTCGTCATCAATGGAGAGGGGTTAGGCCTATTAGAGACGCCGGAGCGGCCAAACCATCAATCAAACAACTTTAAGAGACGCATTTCGGGTGCCTTTTTGCATGCAGATAAGAGAGAGCAATTTGAATCATATGTACCTTACATTGAAAAGGTTTTTTTTTTCTCTCTTTTTTCGGTTTTGGCACAGAGAAAGGGTAAAACCATGGATTAAGTGTGATATTTTGGGGTAGTCTATCATGTATTGCGTCTACTTAGATTTTAGGCTTATAGGCTTATGCCGCTTTCATTGTAAGGAAAAAAAAAAAAAGAAAAGACCTAAATGTTTGGTCGGATAAATTTACATGGATTGCTCTTCTCCCCATCATAATTTGGGAGGTCCGTGAAAGTTGAAGGTTAACAATCCGCATTGGTAGTTGTTAGTTATTACTCCATCCATTCCAAAATAAATGTCGTCCTACACTTTACACATAATTTAAGAAACTCTTAAATAAGATAATAAAATTACTTGAATATCCTCAACTAACCCCATTATAAAATTGTCCACCAATAGCATCAACTCTTTTGAGGGTAATTTTAGAAACTTTTGACAAAAAGTGCATTGAAATGTGAGAACGACACTTATTTTGAAATTTCTCCATTTTGCTAAAACGACATTTATTTTGGAATGGAGGGAGTATGTTTTAGTTTGAAATGTATTTTACTCATATTTTTGTTGAAAGCATTCATTGTTGACAAATGACATACATATATATTTGGTGATACATCACCGGGAGTTGTTATAGTATAATTTGGTTACTAAATAGCTTTGTTCATGATTTTTGGAAGAGAGGAAAAGTAGTCGGGTAAACTTGAGGGGGAACAATGATTTAATTTATCGGACCTTTTAAATTATTCATTCCATTTTGAAGATTGAGATGTGTAAATGTTCTTAATGCATGAAAAAGAATCAAATCAAGTTCTTAACGCATAAACAAATATTACATCCGTCCCACAAAAATAGTCTATATTGAGTTTTTAAATTTGTACTAAAAATAGTATAAAACTCAAAACTCAATACCGATGTGGGACGGAGGGAGTAATAATTAACTAAATTGGGGTAATAAAAATTGACTTATGAAAGTGATACATCATGATTTTATAATTTGATGGAAAAATTTTGTCGGATATGTTTCTTACTGATGGAAATTGATAGGAGGAAGACGAAAATAAGAATTGAAAGAACATAAATAAAAAAGAGAAGAATGGGAATAATATTTGAAGACTACGTTGTAATTGACACAATTATAAAATAAAGTGGGTGCCTATTTATAGGCATGTCTACACTATTAGATAAAAGCTACTATTGATAAGTATTAAATCAAACTAATCTTGATAATTACTAAATCATATCTATCACTCATGATAATTTTTTAGTAAAACTTGTCATTAAAATAAATCCTCCCTCAACTACTATTGATGGTGATCTTTAACATCCTCGCTCAAACTAAGTCGGGATTAGAGTCATAGTTTGCTCTGACTGCGTTGACGGCTTTCTCTTCCTTAAGAACATGAGCAGTGATTTCGGAATAGACTCGGCCTTCAGTGATTCTGGCCATGTGTTGGATAAATTGCCTAAAATTTATTGTTAGATTATTTTATGTCAAGTCAAAACTTTTCTTTCGCGAGAATATCAAACTTTTGCCATAATGGAAATGTTTTGTGGATTGTTAGACTATTGTACGACAAGTCAAAACTCTTCATCTGAGAGAAGATCAGACTTTTGCCATAATAGAAATTTTTGTAGATTGACTCAGAGGTGACTTTCCTCTTTGTCTGAAATTTGTGAATCAACTGACGTTGATTTATGAAAAAAATAAAAATAAAAATTTGTGGTTCGATAGAATTGATTTATGACAGATTTGTGGGACTGGCTATTCTTATGAGAATCTAAATGAATTATAAGATTAGTAATAGAGGTGGAATGCAAGATAGTGATTTGGGATGAATTTGAAATTTAAGAATGACATAATCCCTTGTATTCTGATATGCACATGATCAGGAAATCATGATTTATTTTCTTGAAGGAAAAAAAAAAGATACTGAATGGCGGTCTTCATTGAGCTGACACTATTGGAAGCTGGATTTCCACAGAAGATGGCTAACAAGATCATAAAGTGTGTCTCAACATCCAACATGAGGATTTTGTGGAATGGCGGTCTAACGGATGACTTTAAACCATCTAGAGGAATGCGACATGGAGAAGCTTTATCCTTTTATTTTTGGGAAAATTTGGTTAAAGGGCGATGGAAGAAGTTAAATTAATAAAAGAGGTATGATCTTAAAATATTTTTTATGAAGGGCGGTAACTTATTTGTTAAAATTCATAAAATAAAAAATACTTTAAATTGACAGGTATACCCTTATAGTTTTCTACACAAAAAATAAAAAATAAAAGCCTAAATCCTAGAGAGTTGTTTCGCCTTTCGACCATTCTCTTGCTAGGGCATTAGAAATAACGACCAAAGAAGTTGCTCTCAAATTGGAACAATTACACGCACTATTTGCCAATTAGAACACCAAAAATTGAGAGTCCAACCTCCTCTTAACACTATGCAACTGCAAAGTTCTTGAGTTCTTTTTCCTCATATTCCAAGAACCCAAAACCCACTGTCGACATAGGTAAATTTTTATCTTTCTATTATACATGTTTTTCATCCTATTCGTGAATTGATAATCATGTATAAGTAGGTGCAGTTTATTAGGATTTTGCAATAAAATGAAGAGAATAGTTTTCAACTTCCCGATTAAATGCATGAAATCCTGAACAAAAGTGTGAGGATAAAAAAAAAATTGATTGCTGATTATGATGATGATGACGACAATGATGGTTTTTTTTTTTGTGCAACTTTAATTTGACGATGATGATGATGATTTGTTTTTTTTTTCTTTTTTTTTTGTTCAATTTAGATTTTTTTTTAAGAAGAACTTTCTTAGGTATTTGAGAGCAACTATCTGAATTTCTAAACTCATGCCTCTTTTTTTTTTTGCGTTGTATTTTTTTGCGTTCTATAAAAATAAATAAAACTACTCAAGATTTACAAATAGAGATTCTGTTTAAAATCACTACTCGTGAACTCAAAGAAGATTAGAGACAAATAAAAAGAAGTATGACTAGAACAATGATCACAATCTAGACATATATAGGGCATGCATGCTTAGCTTGTGACTTTTCCCTTGCCAAAAACGTAAAGATGCATGGAAAGATTGATTTCTTCTTTTCATCAAAACTTCGACTTCAGCTTCAGGAACAGATTCACTTTCTATGTTGCTTGTATACTTCATCGTTTGGTTCATATATGCCTTTAGGCTCATTCTTTGATGGCCAGCAGCATCAGTTGCGTGGTCCAAGCTCTTAGCTTCTTTATTCTCTTCAAGACTTTCTAGCCCCTCTTCAAGACTTTATTCTCTTCAAAAACCACTTAAGCATGTGATTTTGCCTAATCAGCTTCTTGAGTATCCTGGTGCAACTCCACCATTTTTTCTCCAGCTTCTTTCACCCTCAACTGAACAACAATCTCTAGCTTCTTATTATAAATTGAAATCATTAAGTAGTCTATTATGTATAGATGAACATGTATGATAGTTTCTAATGCTAATTTATAATAATCTTTTTTTTTATACTTATTTCAGATGGAAAAATCAATTTTTTGTTATTGTCATTGGGGAGGTGAGAATGTTGTTTCTTCAGATGGTTCCGTCATGTATAGAGGAGGAATAACTAATTATATCACCGTATCGAGCAGAGTGACCTTTCGGGAGTTTTTTACCACTGTTTATGAGAAAATGATTCTTGATCCGACAGACAAAGTGATACACTTCACTGTAAAACATGACTACAAACAACTCATTTTGTTGAAAGATGAGATAGATTTGCAGACATTAATCAATGCTAATGATGATTTTGCCCATGTATACATTTCAAATGCAGAAAGACAAGTTCCAACGTCTAGCATATAAGTGCCTCAAATTATGTACTATATTCTATAATTTAACTTGTCTTCATTAAAAAAAAGTGCAGTTCCTAGTTATGTTATATTATCAATATGCAATAAGCACTTTTATGACGATTTACTTCTAGATTGAATAATATTGTCCCCTCTTCTAATTCTTGTGACAACTTTGGCAATACATCATCGCAAACCTTAGAATCTCATGAGCAAGTCAATCAAGGTGCTGCAATGATTTGGAATGATTTGCTAATTGGTCCAGGGCAAATATTTGAGGATGTAAACTCTTTTCGTGTTGCTATGTACAGATTTTCTATTGCTCATAGATTTTCCTATGATTTTACACATAACAAGCCTCATTATCTGAAAGCTAAGTGTGCTGTTAATGGATGCCCGTGGATAATTTTAGTTATGGGTGATGGAAATATGAGCCAGTTGTCTGTCAGAAAATTTGAAAATGTTCACACTCATTCAGTTGGTGATTTGCTTAACTTTAAGCCAAAGTACAGTTCTAAACTGGTAGGAGATATATTTGTGGA